AGCCTGGAAAACATGGTGAAACCCCCTTTCTACAAGAAATACAAAAATTAGCCAGGCATGGTGGCGTGCACCTGTAGTCCCAACTACTCAGGAGGCTGAGGTGGGAGAATCGATTGAGCCCAGGCGGCAGAGGTTGCAGTGAGTCAAGATCATGCCACTGTATTCTAGCATGGGCAACAGAGTGAGACTCTGTTTCCAAAAAAAAAAGGAAGAAAGAAAAGAAAGTAAAATATGTATGTATACACACACAAATAGTCAATAATCATAAGGACAGATGCTTAACATAATTTGCCATTAGAGAAATGCAAAACAAAATCACCTGGAGAAACGAATGATCCTCATTACAATGACCACCATCAGAAAACACATAATGACAGCTGCTGGGGAGGATGCAGAGACACCAGAAACTCATACCTTACTGGCGAGAATATAAAACAGTACAGCTGCTTTTCAAAGAATTTAGCAGCTCCTCAAAATGTTAACATGGAGTTACTCAATCACCCAGCAATTCCATTCCTAAGTTTACAACCAAGAAAAATGAAAACTTGTGTCCACAGAAAATTTGTACACAAATGTTCACAGTAGTATTATTCATAATGGACAAAAAGTGGAAACAACCCAAATATCCATCAATTGATGAACAGATAAACAAAATGTGGTCTGTCCTTACAATGGAATAGTATTTGGCAATAAAAAATGAAGTACTGATACATGCTACATGGATGAACCCTGAAAACATGTTAAGTAAAAAAGATGCCAGTCACAAAAGACCACATATTGTATGATTCCATTATATGAACGATCCAGAATAGGCAAGTCTGTAGAGACAGAAAGTAGATTCATGGTTGCTAAGGGCTAAAGGTGGGGATCAGGAAAGCTAGAGGTGAAATTGGGAGCAATTGCAAATAGGCATGGAATTTCTTTTTGGGATAATGAAAATGTCCTAAAATTGCTTGTGATGATGGCTCCAGAACTCTGTCTTTATACTAAAACCTTTGAATTGTATACTTCATTTGTTGTTTTTTTTGTTTGTTTTTGAGACAGAGTTTCGCTCATTGCCCAAGCTGGAGTGCAATGGTGTGATCTTGGCTCACTGCAACTTCCACCTCCCAGGTTCAGGTGATTCTCCTGCCTCAGCCTCCCAAGTAGCTGGGATTACAGGCACCCGCCACCATGCCCAGATAATTTTTTGTAGTAGAGACGGGGTTTCATCATGTTAGCCAGGCTGTTATCAAACTCCTGACCTTAGGTGATCCACCAGCCTTGGCCTCCCAAAGTGCTGGGATTAGAGGTGTGAGCCACCACGCCTGGCCTGAATTGTATATTTTAAATGGATGAACTTTATGGCATGTGAATTATACCTCAATAACCCTGTTTAAAAAAATAGAAATACAGCCAGGTGCAGTGGCTCATGCCTGTAATCCCAGCACTTTGGGAGGCTGAGGCGGGCAGACCAGCCTGATCAACATGGAGAAACGTTGTCTCTACTAAAAATTAGCCAGGCGTGGTGGTGCATGCCTGTAATCCCAGCTACTTGGGAGGCTGAGGCAGGAGAATCACTTGAAGCCAGGAGGCAGAGGTTGCAGTGAGCCGAGATCGCGCCATTGCACTCCAGCCTGGGCAACAAGAGCGAAACTCTGTCTCAAAAACAAAACAAAACAAAACAGAAAAACAGAAAAAATGACAGATAATTATGCTGAGGTCACAGCAGACCAAAAGCCCAACATAACTAGATAGCATGAAGGCTGATGAAACACAATATTGGAATGCTGTTGTTATTCTCTACCTACTTTCCAACTCAAACAAATACAAACACATTCGTGTGAATTTATACACAGTTCAATCATTCTCTTACTGTGAGCACAGATCTTTACTAGAATAATATATCTAAATTTGAGTTCTACAGATTAAATAATGAGACAACAATAAGGTTTCCAAAGACGGTTTCAAAAGGGGAACTAAGAAAAGACTGTAATTATTTAATTTAATTTCTTTTTTTTTTTTGGAAATGGAGTTTCACTCTTGTTGCCCAGGCGGGAGTGCAACGGCGCGATCTGGGCTCACTGCAGCCTCCACCTTCTGGGTTCAAGCAATTCTCCTGCCTCAGCCTCCTGAGTAGCTGGGATTACAGGCATGCGCCACCACACCTGACTAATTTTGTATTTTTAGTAGAGACAGGGTTTCCCCATGTTGGCCAGGCTGGTCTCAAACTCCCGACCTCAGGTGATCCGCCCACCTCAGCCTCCCAAAGTGCTGGGATTACGGGTGTGAGCCACCACACCCAACCTAATTTTATTTATTATTATTTTTTTTGAGATGGAGTCTCGCTGTGTTGCCCAGGCTGGAGTGTAGTAGAGTGCTGCCTCCAGGGTTCAAGCAATTCTTCTGCCCCAGGGGGATGGTTCTAGGATACCCCCTTGAATACCAAAATCTGAGAATGCAGAAGTTCTCTTACATAAAATTGCATAGTATTTGCAAATAACCCACAAACAGCCTCCTGCATTACTTTAAGTCTGGGGTGTCCATTTTTTGGCTTCCCTGGGTCACACTGGTAGAAGAACAATTGTCTTGGGCCACACATACGTATACTACACTAACACTAATGATAACTGATGGGCAAAAAAAAAAAAAAAAACGCTAAAAATCTCATAATATTTTAGGAAAGTTTACAAATTTGTGTTGGGCCACATTCAAAACTGTCCTCAACTGAGGGTTGGACAAGCTGCTTTAAGTCATCTCTAAGTTACTTATAATACCTAATACAATATAAATGCAATATAAGTGGTTGTCATATTGTATTTTTCTTTGTATTATTTTGCTGTTGTATTATTTTTTATTGTTAAGTTTTTTTGGGTTTTGTTTTTTAGTATTTTTGATCCGCTGTTGGTTGAATCTGCAGATGCAGAATGCTCGGATAAGGAAGCCAACTGTACTCCCAGATACCAGTGACTTGCTTACTCTCTACTTATTATCTCTTATTCTCTATGCCTTCATTCTAGCATATGCTTCATTCTAGCATAAGTAATCACCCTTCTATATTCTGAAGTCAGAAAGGACAATATCTAGATCACTGCTCAAGAGTTCTGAACTGGGAGATTAAAAAGCTGGGCCAGCTGGGCACGGTGGCTCACACCTGTAATCCCAGCACTTTGGGAAGTGGAGGCAGGTGGATCACGTGAGATCGGCAGTTCAAGATTAGCCTGACCAACATAAAGAAACCCTCTCTCTACTTAAAATACAAAATTAGCCAGGAATGGTGGTGCATGCCTGTAATCGCAGCTACTCAGGAGGGTGAGGCAGGAGAATCACTTGAACCCAGGAGGCAGAGGTTGCAGTGAGCCGAGATCGCACCATTGCACTCCAGCCTGGGCAACAAGAACAAAACCCATCTCAAAAAAAAAAAAAAAAAAAAAAAAAAAAAAAAGGCTGGGGAGGTGATAGTGGAGAAAGGACTCCCAGAATGCCCTCTGTGTGTAGTTGTTCACGGAAACCACATGAACAGAAAATAGCTGCAACAGCTAATTCTTACTAAAGTGGCAAGCATTGTGCATAACACTGCCTAATGTGTGATGTTAAACGTTTTCACCAGGTCAGCCACTTAATCTTCAGAAAACTGGTGGCCAACTATGAAGTTTCACATTGATGTTTAATTGCTGTTCCTAAAGAAGTGCGTGCTTTTTTAAAATATAGAGGATGGGAGGTAGGTTGGAAAGGGAAGATAAGCGGCATTGGAAAAATCTACTGTGATTACTGCATTTTTATCAAATATGTCTGTCTGGATTGCGGTTAGAATCACTGCAAATTTGGCTTCTGTAAATACTTTAAAACTTTTTCCAATGTTTTCATTATCAGATCCACTATGCAGGCTTTGAGTGGGCTGCCATTTAATTCAGATATCAAAGTACTTTACAAGTAACTATTAGCATTTATTATCTACACGTGGAAAACTATAGCAAAGAAAGGTCAATCAAAAGTTGTGCTCAAGGTCATCAGATAAAATGAGATTAATACTGAAAAATTCTTCCACGAAGACCAGGGGTCCGGCTAAGTGTGGTGGTGGTAAAAATGTTTATCAGACGTCCCTCTAAAGAAACCTCAGATGGGAGAAAAATGTCCCAGCCCCAGGAATGGACACATTTGGGTTTTTCCTTTTCCTTTTTTTTTTTTTTTTTTGAGACAGGGTCCCGCTCTGTTGCCCAGGCTGGAGTGTAGTGGCGCGATCTCTGCTCACTGCAACCTCCGCCTCCCGAGTTCAAGCGATTCTCCCGTCTCAGCCCACCGAGTAGCTGGGATTACAGGCGCGCGCCACCACGCCCAGATAATTTTTTTGTATTTTTTAGTAGAAATGGGGTTTCACCATGTTGGCCAGGCTGGTCTCGAACTCTTGGCGATCCGCCCGCCTCACGCTCCCAAAGTGCTGGGACCACAGGCGTGGGCCACCGCGCCCGGCGCACATTTGGGTTTCATGGTCAGCAAAAGCACGACCACCCCAACACATAAATCTGGCGAATCATACGCAAATTCCCTCAGGCTATATAACCTTCCACCGCTCTTCATACCTTTGGACAGGCACATACTGTTATTTTAGAGAAGGAAACGGATCAGAGACCTTGTCTCCTTTTTCTGCACTACCAAACACACCAAACGGCGTCCTTAGCAATCAGATTCCAGAAACATTTCCTTTCCTCTTGAAAGCCCACCGCTCCCTTCACTCAAAGAACAGAATAATCAGGGGCCTAAAGAAGCTGTCCCGCCAACCTGCACGGAAGTGCTGAGGCAGAACCACTTGCCGCGCCAAAAGCATCCCGCGCCGCACTATGGAGGCAGCCATCTTGGAGCGTACCAAAACGAAGGGCCAACGGGTGACGGACAGAGGAAGGGGCGGAAGGGGCGGGGTTACAGCTCGACCTCTCGGGGCGCCCAGAATTGGACGAATCCCGTTTGTCGCCCTCGGCGTCAGGACCGACGCTCCGCCTCCTCGCCCCGGTTCCAGTAGTTGGTATAGTCCGAGACAGTATGGCTGCTGCACTTCGGCCCTCGAGTCGAGTTCTCCTGCAGGCACCCCAGATTTCGGTGTATCCTGGGGTGGGAGGCTCCGGCTCTGTCAGCTGCCGCTGCCCTCTCGGAGGTATCCGCGGCCTTAGCCTAGGGAAAGAGGGGAGGGATGGGAGAGAAGGGAGTGTTAGACCCTAGCTAGCGTCTCTTTGGAGCAGCCACAGCTCCTAAGTCACTCACTGGCCTGGACCGCACCCTCGCCTTCTAGTTGCACGTGGGGGCAGTGGTGACCCCTGGGGGTCGTGGATACCCCCAGGGCCTGCAAATCGAAGGACTGCTGGGGTCTTGACCTTGGGGCTGTAGTGCACCCTCATATGGGGCGACGTTGGTCTTCAGGAACACCCCTCCAGCGTTGGGTGACATTTTTTTTTTCTTTTTTTTTTGAGACGAAGTCTCAAAAAAAAAAAGTCTCTGTCGTCCAAGCTGGAGTGCGGTGGCACGATCTCGGCTCACTGCAACCTCCGCCTCCCGGGTTCAAGCGATTCTCTTGCCTCAGCTTCCCGAGTGGTTGGAACTACAGGCGTGCGCCACCACGCCCGACTAATATTTTATATTTTTAGTAGAGACGGGGTTCACTATATTGGCCAGGCTGGTTTCGAACTCCTGACCTCGTAATCCACCCGCCTCGGCCTCCCAAAGTGCTGGGATTATATGCGTGAGCCACCGCGCCCGTGGTTTTTCTTTTCTGCAGAGTTTGGGAGCAGAGGTCTTAAGGAGTCTCAGTTCTGCTAACAATCTAAAAGACTGGCACGTTTCTTAATTTTTCAAAACTATCCTTTAACATCTCTATGAAAAGAGTTAAATTTGAAGATGCTAGTGAGTGATTGTAAAAATGTTTGTCAGGCATTACTTTAATGTATTTTATATACATAATTCTTTTTCTCTAGACAACACCCAGCAAGAGAATTACCATTCTTTTCTCCATTTACAGAGGAGGAGCAAGGTTAAGTAATTTGCCCAAGGTCAGAGGGAACTGTTAGAGGCGGGATTTGAACACAACCAACAATAGAGAGACCTACTCCTAACCACTTCACTGGACTGCCTTTCTGTAAATAAATAGCAATTTTTATTGTTACCTTGTTACTGCAGCTCAGAGAACTCTGTTAGTTCGTGATTCTTTGGCCAAGCTTCATCCGTTTTATGTCACACATAGCCAAGGATCTAAAGAAAGGATGATGTTTCCCAAATCTACTAAGTTGTGATCAGTGATTTCCATGTATCTCAGATGTATCTTGAGTCCACATCTGAGAGGCCTGAACCCCTTCATTTCACAGAGGACAAAACTGGGAGTTCCAGTGATCACGCTGCAGCTTTTTCCACCACTCTATGCTTCTCCCTGAATAAACCAAAACTAAATATGCCTGTTTTGCATTTAAATGTTACTGGTTTTTTTTTTAATGCCCTTGATACCCTTTAACAGATGGCGAATGCCCATTTGTACTTCAAATCCCAACTTCCTGTCAACCAGTCCCCACACAAGGTTTCTCACTAGCTATGGTTAATCACTAGCTTCTTTCACACACACAAGTAAAACCTGTTTTGCTGAGGATTTGCATTCTCGGATAGTTCATAAATGGTTTTTCCCAGGAATTATATTTGTTCAGTCATATTTGTACCTGTCTAATGGATTATTTATAATAGATGTTAATTAGAGGCAGTCAAGCTCTACTTGTGCTAACTTTTAAAACAGTCAAAATGACTTTTTTCTTTCTCTGATTTTTAGCTAAAAGATACCTACTTACAGATAATGTGGTGAAATTAAAAGAATTTCAGCAAAAGAAAGTGGCTGTTGCATGCAGTCTTCCTGGCACTAAAGGTAATGGAATCTATTTTGTTAATTCTGTAATTTATCTGTCATTTAAGTTTCTCTGTCTTTATCCCTCCCTATTCAGTGTCTCCTTCAGTGAGTTTATTATGCCTTAGAAAAAGTTGAGACCATTTATTGTTAGTTTCATAGTGAACTCTTATATTCATTTTGCATCTCACACTTTGTTGCTAGAAAGTCTACAGCTCTCCTCTTATTCCTTCTCTTACAATCCCAGAGAGATATTAAAGCTAGTGCTGCGATTGTTCGTCTAGATCTGTGCCACTGAAAGTGTGGTTTGAGGACCAGCAGCATCAGCGTCTATTGGGTGGTTGATAGAAATGCAGATAGAAAGGCCCCAGATCATTCATGTGCACAATAAAGTTTAAGAACTTGAGATGATTGGCTTTCAAGCTTTTTGATGTAACCTTCGGTGAAAAATGCATTTTATGCTGCATCTCAGTACACGCAAACATATCTATATATAAATGAAATCAAATGAAACAAAATAGTACTATGTGTGATGGTATGTTTTGACATTTTTCACTCTGTGCTAGAAAAGTCAGTAGGATAAAAAATTTCTTAAAAAACAAGAGAAACCTGACTGCCAAAACTAGGATTTGATTGGGCATGATGGCTCATGCCTGTAACTCCAGCACTTTGGGAGACCAAGGCAGGAGGATTGCTTGAGCCAGGGAGTTTGAGATCAGCCTGAGCAACATAGACCTCATCTCTACAAATTTTTTTAAAGTTAGCTGGGCGTGGGGGTACATGCCTGTAGTCACAGCTACTCTAGGGGCTGAGTTGGGAGGATTGCTTGAGCCTGGGAGGTCTAAGGTGCAGTCAGCCATGATCACACCACTGCACTCCAACCTGGGTGACAGAGTGAGACCCTGTCTCAACAAAAAGATAAATCTGGGATTTGCTTCAAAAAAAATCCAGTGTGTTTGGGGATTGTAGAGTAGAGGAAACATAATTAGCAAAATACTGATAATGATTGAGGCTGGGTAATGGCACTCAGTGAGGGGGATTATTATACTATTCTTTCATTTCTTGGGTATGTTTGAAAATTTTTGTTATTAAAAGCTAAAAGCAAGAAGATCGCCCTAGGTCTTCTTTCCTTTCAGCACCTGAGGAAGCTTGTTGCATTCATTCTCTCCCTCCTGCACATAGAGTTCTTCCCAGCATTTCATACTGTTTATTGTGCGTGGATGCGGCCGTGGTCCCTGGGGGTTGTGGATGGACCCGCTTGATTCCTCTTTATGAACACATCCAAGACTTTCCTTTTTTTTAAAATAACTCTTGGTGTCCCTACTGACTTTTTAAGCTATAGACCCAGCCCTCCTTCCTCTCACTGCCAGATGTTTGTGAAACCCTGATCAACACATTAACATTCTCTTTGTTTTGGTTTGTTTTTTAAGAGACAGTCTCGCTCTGTCACCTAGGCTGGAGTGCAGTTGGCACCATCATAGCTCACTGCAGCCTCAAACTCTTGGATTCAAGCAATCCTCCTGCTTTAGCCTCCTGAGTAACTAGGACTACAGTGCCACTATGCCGCCTAATTTTTAATTTTTAATTTTTTGTGTGTGAAGACAGGGTCTCACTATGTTGCCTAGGCTGGTCTCAAACTCCCGGGCTCAAGCTAGTATCCCGCCTCAGCCTCCTAAAGTACAGGTGTGAGCCACTGTACCCATCCTGATACTTTCTGCCTCCATTCCCTCACAGTTCAGTCCTCCAGAAATCAGTGTTCTCTTGCTGCTCCACTAATTGTACTGTCATATAATACCATATATGGGGCAGAAAAAATAAACCTTTTGAATGGGGGGAATATATTTATCCCCAGTTGAGTAGGCTCAATCTAGATTTCACTTCAGTCTTTTCTTTCTACCCCAGGTATTTTAGATCTATGTGAAATTTGCAGTTAGGGCTTCATGTCATCCAGTTGTGATTTCCAGTTGTCATAGTCTTCATAAGGCTGTGGCAGTCGTGTACATGTTCTGAAAGGCAATTAATATAGTCAGTGCCAATCTGCTCTGTTGTCAGACTGCTATGTTTAAAGTCCTGTCAACCTTCCGTCATTTTGAGCCCACAGTGGTACTCTTGTATACCACACCATTAACATACTTATCCCTCTGGCAACCTGGCTCTCCCATGGTGGACTCTGCCCTTTCTAGGGCGGTTTCTGGTTGATCTAGTCACGGCTGTTCCCTCCACACTTTCCATTCCCAGTTCTCTTCTGTTGTTCATGCTGATTCCCTTATGAAGAATGCTCCCCTCCTCCATTTCTCCAACCCGATTCAGCCCTTTCCTGTCTCACTGGTACCCCTCCACTTTCACCAACCTGGTCTGTCCTGACTCATAATAACAAAGGTTGTAACAGGACTCTTCGGTCCACTCTGAGTTGAAATAGGTGTTGTAACAGGACAGAAGAGTCCTGTTGTGTTTATAGTCATTCATGTGTCACCTCCTCCATCATTGTTTTCAGGTAGCTTTGTATACATTTAGCTTGCCTTCCCCAAAATGCTTTAAGTTCTTTGAGGGCAGGAACTATTCCTTATCTTTCTTGGTGTCTCACACACAAAGAAGGATACTTCTGGGTATGATTATATGACAAACAAATGTTGATTGATTTGTTTTAAAACACAAGTTATATCTGTTGAAATATTGGATTCTTAAGGTTTTTTTTTTTTTTTTCTGAGACAGAGTCTCACTCTGTCACCCAGGCTAGAGTGCAGTGGCATGATCGCGGCTCGTTGCAACCTCTGCCTCCCAGGTTCAAGAAATTCTTGTGCCTCAGCCTCCCCAGTAGCTGGGATTACAGGCATGTGCCACCACACCTGGCTACTTACTGTATTTTTAGTAGAGATGGGGTTTCACCATGGTGGCAAGGCTGGTTTCAAACTACTGACCTCAAGTAATACGCCCACCTCGGCCTCCCAAAGTGCTGGGATTACAGGCATGAGCCACTGTGCCCGGCCTCTTAAGGTTTATTAAGGCAGATTAAGAGTTACAAGATGTAACATCATCTCTTTGATGACTTGAGACTTTTTAGACTGGAAGTTGCTTAGAGATATTTAATAGACTAAATCCTCGTAGATCTAACAGGTGACAGAAGGAATGAAAATGAGAACAATAATGTTTCTATTTACTGGCAGTTACCATATGGCAATGCTTTACGTGTATCATCTCAGATAACCCTGTGAAGAAGGTACCACGATCCTTACTTTATACATGAGGAATCAAGTCTCAGAGACAAGGGTCTCCATCAGAATGCAAGTGGCCGACCTTAGATTTCAGCCCAGGTCCTTCCATCTCTAGAGCCTTTAACGGTTACATGGTTCTGCAAATAGAAATTGGAGGATCCACTACATTATCTCAAACCTAGTAGGTCTTTTCTTTTAAATCGAGAACAGTGCCTCTGCTTCTAGTTCTTGTGTTTTAGATGTATTTGTGCCTCTCCTTTCAGCAGCATTCCTTCAAAGCTCTGGGCCTTGGAACGAATCCTATAGCTATTTCCTGGCAGCTTCTGATACTGACAACAGTTCTGCCTTCTGGAAAGCAGATGCTTGGTTGGTGCCTGTTTTGCTTTTCACCCCACATTTTGATGGGAATAAAGCCCCTTATTGATGCCAAGAAGAGGTGCCTCCTTTTGGTTTTTTTCCCCACAGTTGATCAGATACAAAGACAAGGAAGAATGATAGACTGTGATGACATTGAAACGATTCTGTCACTGAAAAACTGTTTGCTGCTGTTTGAGGACTGTTTTCCCCCCTGCCCATTACATAGTACTTTAGCATGCCTTCTAACAGCTGAGTAAAAAGAGACTGAGAGGAATGAAAAAGAGGTGAAGTTGAATCAAATGAAAGAAACATGAGTCATGTGGGTCCACCATTGTGAACAAACCTACCTTCAACTCACATTTTCTTTTTAGTTTTCCTGTTTGTTTCTCTGCCAATTGACAGTTTGGGTGTCTGGCTACATTTTCTTTCTTTTTCTCATGAGTCACCTGTAGATTCAGTTATTTGAGCCAAGCCTCTGGGACAATAATTCTCAAACTTTAGTATACCAGAGGATCACCTAGGGAATCAAAAATGCAAATTCTTGAGCTCTTACCCCAGAGATTTTATTTTAGAGAGTCTCGAGTGGGCCTGGCCCTGTGCCCATGCCCCTGCCTCCTATGACAGATGCCATCTGCTGACACTGTTCTAGAGGAGATTGGCCAGTGATGGCAGCTGTGCATCCCTGAGCCCCTCTCAGTGCCCCTCTGCAGTGAGGCGGGGTAGGGCTTCCCCATCTTCCTGAGGTTAGATTCCTTATACTCCCAGTCAGCCTGAGTGATGGTCACCATACTGTGCTTTCTTCCAGAAACCTATTTTAGAAACTTGAAAGAGAAACTGACCCAGAACAAGCTCATCTTGAAGGAGGAGTTGATAACCTTACTTCATCTGTGTGAGTCCCGGGACCACGTGGAGCTGGCTAAAGATGTCATTTACAGGTGAGGCATTTCCTTGGAATGCTGCCACCCTCATCCCTTCTTACTCTGTTCCTTTCTGTGAACAGGTTCATCCACTTCGAAGATGTTGCCACCTCTACACCAGTGACTTGTTCAGATGCCTACCTTGAACTCCAGACACTTACATTCACTTATTGAGCACACACTTACTGGGTTCCTACTACATGCTGGGTGCTAAGGATAGAAAAGCAGATATTTTATGTCTAAAGAAGTTACCAGCCTACTCACTAACTCCACTGACATATCCCTTAGGTCTTCAGATTCAACATGTGCAAATTCATTGCTCTTCCTCTGTTTTCCTTCTCATGGGCTAGTCACTCAGGACAGATATTTTGGAGCCTCTTTACTCTCATCTCATTTGCCTCTCTTTCTTGATAGGGTAAGAAATCCTCTTGGTTCCGCTTCCTTGGTATCTCCCTCAGCTCCAGCCCTCATCTCTCTCTCTCCCCATTGGCAGTGTCTTAGTTCAGGCTTTAATGTCTCTCACCTGAATCCTTTCAGTGGACTCCTAACTCTTCTCCCTTCTCCAGTCCTACTATGCCTTTCTGATCCATTATTAAAGTTTCCCATGTCAGAAAGAACTCACATGTAAGCATAGCCTGCCACTGGGAAAGCCAGCAAAGGCTTCACTTACCAGGGAGCAGTATGACGTCAAATCAACAGACTTCATTTCTGAAATTAAATTCATTGCTCTTTTCCTTTTTTTTTTTTTAACTCTTTTCTTTTTTTTTTTTTTGAGATGAAGTCTCGATTTGTTACCCAGGCTGGAGTATAGTGGTGCAATCTTTCAGCTCAGTGCAACCTCCACCTCCAGGTTCAAGCAGTTCTCTCTGCCTTAGTCTCCCAACTAGCTGGGGTTACAGGCGCCTGCCACCATGCTCGGCTAATTTTTGTATTTTTAGTAGAGAGGGGTTTTCACCATGTTGGCCAGGCTAGTCTCGAACTCCTGGACTCAAGTGATCTGCCTACCTGAGCCTCCCAAAGGCTGGGATTACAGGCATAAGCCACCACGCCCAGCTCTCTTTTCCATTTTTAAAAGATCTGTTTCTACATATGAACCTGCATTTATATGTACATTTATAGAGAGAAATACAAGATAATCATATAAAGAATACTGGAAGATTGTCTACCAAAAGTTAACTGGTTCTCTGGGAATTATGGATTATGTATTTTTTTGTTTGTCTAAATGTATATTTTTCTGATTTCTCAAACTTGTTTACAGTGGACATTAATTTTATAACATGAAAAAATGTCTTTTTAAGTTAAAAAAAATTTAAAAATTCATTGAAAAATTGAAAAACACCAAAAAGTAGAGAGAAGAAATATATCACAAATTCTGCTGTTTCAGTTGTCTGTTGCTATATAACAAACCACACCAGAACTTGATGGCTTAACACAGTGACTATTTATTATTTCTCATAATCCTGGGATCAGGAATTCAGGCTCATCTCTACTGAGCAGTTCTTTGTTGGTGTCAGATGAAGCCACTCACTCATTTGCAGTCAGGTGGTAGCTGGGCTGTACTGCACAGTCCAAGAAGGCCTCTCTTGAGTTTGTGATGCCTCATTGCTCCTCCATGTGGCCTTCCCCCCTCTTTCTGGAGTGCCTCATCATTCATTTGTTGGTTTGAGCTGCACTGGCCCACAGCCCAGATGTGAGCTGCCAGGCATGATAGAGCTGCCCAGAATTGGCATAGCTTCTCTTGGTCAAGGCAAGTTGCCTGGCCAGACCAAAGTCAAGAGGAGGGGAAAAGGATTCTACCTCTGGATGGATGGAGCCATATGCACATACAGAGAGGGAAGGAATTGATGGCAGCCATCTTTGGGGCCTGTTGCTTCCATCTAAGAAACCACTGTTAATATTTTTGTGTTTTTTTTTTTTTTTCACAGATGCAAAGATTTCGTTGTTTTGAAAGATTTTACATTGTTATAGTTATTGCTGTATAATTATTTTCTAAATTAATATAAATATTTTCTTGTTAATCATATCCTTAGGAATCATAGTTTAATGACAATCAGTATTTATTGTACGTTAGGTAGTTTCATTAACTATGCCCATATTGTTGGGCATTGAAGTTTTTTCTAATTTTTCACCAGTATAAATAATGTCATGATGAGAAACTCGCTCCTTAAAACTTACTCTTTGTTTCGTTTTGGGGATCGGGGGTATGAACTTTTTAGTTTATCAATATGTAACTGTCAGATTATTTTCCAAAAGTGTTATGCTAATTTAAAGTCACACTATATCTGCACACTTAATTCTGTATTTCAGTTTCACAAAGTTAAAGCATTTCCCTCTGGCATGTTTTCCTCTCACACGTTTTGCTACACAAAGCTATTCAATGTTTGTAAGAGTAGTAAAATCAGATAAATATTCTGAGCACTCTTTCTACTCTTATTTTTATCATACATATTCAAAGTATTGCTCAATTCCTTTACTGATGCTAATAAATCTCTACCTAGTTGCTGACCTTTCCTTGTCTAGTTGTAGACAGCTGGACAAGTGGAAAGATGGGTAGATCCAAGGCGCAACCAATACGTTCTCTTTCTCCCTGAGTCAGGCAGCCCATGACGGGGAAAGGAGAGTCATGAGCTGAAACATAAGCTTTTTATTGAGCCAAAAATGAGGAGCATCTTAATACCCTCGTTATGATGACCAAATGCTGTTTGGTTTATTGAGGGATTTTAGATCCTCTTGAATATTTCTTGTCCAGAAGGCAATTCATTATCTCAGTGACTTTCTAGCACTTTTATTAATGTGAATGTCATTTAGCATGTTAATGTCAAATCAGAAAACTTGTTTTTGCTTTCTTTTGCTTTTAATCTGGCACAAGTTTCTCATGAGAATATTTACTGAAATATGTTGATGTTTGAAGATGTTTTCCTTAGCATGCCTTACATTTTATAAGGGCTAACATACGTTGAAGACTTATGTGCCAGGCACATCATCTCATTTAATCGTCGCAAAAAAAAATTGAGTTGAGTTCTCTTCTTCCCTCCATTTTACAGATGAGGAGACGGAAGCGCAGAATAGTTAGTTAATTTGCTCATCATCACACAAGTAGAAGAGCTAGGATTTGAATGATCAGTTTGGATTCAGAGCCTAAAAACCCTTAACCACTATCCTATTTTGCCTTCCAACAACTCAATTTATAAGTGTTGTAATGAAGCAATGAATATTATTTGTAACTTTTTTTTTTTTTTTTTAAGATGGAGCCTCGCTCTGTCGCCCAGGCTGGAGTGCAGGAGCACGATGTCGGCTCACTGCAAGCTCTGCCTCCTGGGTTCAGGGCATTCTCCTGCCTTAGCCTCCTGAGTAGCTCAGACTACAGGCGCCTGCTACCACACCCAGCTAATTTTTTTTTTTTTTTTTTTTTTCAGTAGAGACGGGGTTTCACCGTGTTAGCCAGGATGGTCTCGGTCTCCTGACCTTGTGATCCGCCTGCTTTGGTCTCCCAGAGTGCTGGGATTACAGGCGTGAGCCACCGCGCCCAGCCTATTTGTAACTTCTATAAGTGGATAATGAAATGTATCAAAGTACACCTCATTATTCTATTATGGTATCATTGTAGTATATGGATTTAGAATAGACTAGCGTAATTACTCTAACTCCTTGATGATTTTTAGCAGAAGGTAAAAAGTATCCTGTTTTGTCGTCAGTGCTTCTCCCCAAGGTATTTTAGATTCACTCATTATATGAATCTAAATCTAAAAGAAATACGAATATGAAGATTCATAATAAATAAATCTTTCTAAAATCTGATTTACGTGTAATCATGAGTTGTTGATATTTGTCACGTATTGTCCTCTTGGTGTCTAAAGTAAAAAGAGTTGGTTATTGAAAGTAAATTTACAGTAGTGATATGCAGTTCTGACTGACAGACTGGCTGCCTGTAGAAATCTCAAGCCACATAGAAGACATCATTGTCTTTGAGATTAGCCTTTTCCTGAAACGTAAACGTTCGAAACTACATTTAATTTGTTTAGCCAGGTGATCGTAACTCCTGTGTACCTTTCCCAAACTTAGAAAAACAGAGAGATTGCTGTAAATTGTAAATGTGACTGTTGGTTGTCTGCCATCCTATATGAGGGTGAAGCCAGCCTCCAGGAACACAGAGCATCACCCCCGCTTCTTTCCCTTGTTCTCCTCTGGGTGGGGCCCATTCTGATGCACTTACAGATGCTACTAGACTCCTGCTATTTCCTAAGGTGTGCTCACACTCAGTCTCGGGGTTGTTTCTAAATTTAGAGAATGATTACAACATACGTTTTTCCTGTTTCTTTTATTTTATGTCAGTCTGCTATAAACTCTGTTTATTTAAATGGTTGGTATGCTTCTGCACTCCAGGATTCCTGATTGTCTGAAATCTCCACTTCTCCTCCTCCAGACTGTGAGAGAACTTTATTCTCTGTTGTGTCCCAGCACCTGGCATAGTACATGCCACAGTCTGTGTCTGTCCTTTTTCCTGTGTCCTACCTTTTGGCTCATTGAATCATTTTCATTACCAGGTACCATGCAGAGAACAAAAATGTCACTTTGGGGGAGTATAAGTTTGGACCACTTTTTGTGAGGCTGTGTTACGAGTTGGATCTCGAGGAATCTGCAGTGGAGTTCTTGAAAGACCAGGTTATTGTTTCCTAATTGTTTTCTCTGCCAATGTATGTGTTTTTGGTGATATTGGAAAAGGCATCTCTTCCATGCACATTATTCCTGGGTTAAACGATTTTCAAAGAAAGGCTGCTGGGCCAAATGAGCACTTCTCTGCATTTTTAAGTTTCCTTGCAGTCAGTCTGTGTGAAAGAGGGGTGGAGTGATATAGAACAAGTGTGGAGGAGGTATAGGTACAGATGATCCTACCTTGGATGTGTATCAACGTGGGTTGTACACCTGCTCTTTTAGGGGCTTTCAATAGAGAAGAGCTTAAGACAGTCTCCATTTAAAGACTGACATTCCTGTCCTTTGCCTGTGTTCCTTCTCGATTTTGTATTTGTATTTTTCTGATTGAAGACTACATTTGGGAGGTGCTTTTCTATTTTCAAAATGCTTTCCCTCACATATTCTGACTTTCTGTTCCTAAAAACAAAAGTAAATAATTATTTTTATAGCTACTCATTGAATATTTACTATGTCTTCAGCATTGTGTTTAAGTACTTTAAATATTTCATTTTATTTGTTTCTCACAATAGCCTTGATAAGGTAGATTTCCATTTTGTAGATAAAGAAACTGTGACCTAGAGACGTTATAAATTCATTCATTCATAATAAAGTCATTTTGATTACCAGAGACCATGTAGAGGACAGAAATATCACTTTGGGGGAGTGTAAGCTTAGACTGCTTTTCATAAGGCTGTGTTTCCCATAATCAGAAACATTTGCTAAATTTTGGGGCCACGGCTGACCACCAGGTACATTTTTGTGTATTTAGTAACTTACATAACAAGCTGAGTTGTTTTTCTGCCTCTTACTCTTTTTTTATACAAAATTTTCTCTGTACATGGTGGGCATGTTAACTCTAGGCTTGCCCCTCTTTAATGACACCTGTGTATTAGAAAGATGACCATAATATATTAGTAAGCAGAGAAAAGGTTGTTTTAGAACAGTACAAATAGTTCGATCCTGTTTTTTTCCCATAAAAAAAAGACATACTAACATTAACATTTTAACAAAATATAAATACATATATACTGGGAAGATATACACTAACTCACTTTATCTTTAGGGCTAGAATTATTAAAAATTCTCACTTTTTACTTTATACATTTTTGTATTATTTGACTATTTTTAATAAACATATGTTAATGTTTCAGTTAAAGGAAAACAAAAGCTTCCCACTGTAATAAATCATAGCCACGAGTATAGTGATAAAAACAAAAATAAAAAAGATGAAAGCAAAGTGTTGTTTTTAGCCTGCTTATATATGAAAAATTCACGTATAAGTAACTTCTCTGGAGTAGGATGAACAAATTCAAGTAAGTGACATAGGACTTAATCCTGCTTCTACCTGAACTTCTCTTATCCCCTACTTAAAACCCTGTAGTGTTGCCAACATGGTAGCCACATGGAGTCGTTGAACTGTGGCTAACTCAAATTTACATTTTAATTACTTGTTATAAAAAGAATGCAATGTATGTTAATAATTTTTTATATTGATTACATGTTGAAATTACATTATAGTAGGTTAAATAGTCTATTTCTGTTTACTTTTTTAAGTAAGGCTAATTGAAAATTTAGAGTCACATACGTTGTGATTCTGAAATATACTTGGTGACTCAAAATACTTTTCCATTGCCTGGGGCTGCTCTGGTGGCTTTCCTTCACACTTCGAAGAAAACCCAGACCCCTGACTCTGACCTAGGGGGCCCATTGTGCCATCTCTCCATTCTCCCTTGCTGACTTCACTCTGGACCTATGTATTCTTCCTCAGCCATGGCGAGCTCACAGCCTCTAACTGGAACGTTCTGCATCCTCATCTGTGACACAGCCTCTAACTGGAACGTTCTGCATCCTCATCCGTGAGGCTCCCTCCTTGACCTCACTGAGGTCTCTTCTCACAGTGCCTTCCCTGACTACCTTCTATCTGTCTTCTCTACTTGCTCTTCATAGACCTTACTAATAGCTGGAGTTAATATTTTTTTTCACTTGTCTTATTCACTGTCTTCTCCACCAGAATTTAAGCTCTGCTAGATTACAAACCCTAGTAGGGTTTGGAGCAGGGTGTATGTCCTGTTTATCATTTCTTTATTCTCAGCACCTAGAACAAGGTCTGTGTAGTAGGTGCTCAGAAAAGAGTGGACTTGAGCAAGGCATTTTATGATACATTTGAATACCATGTGTCCCATTATCAGGGCATACAAAATGTTGAGATGTTAGCAAGATGTTAGTCAAAGGATAGAAAATTTCAGTTAGATGGAATAAGTTCAAGGGATTTCTCTGTACAACATAGTGACTATAGTTAATGATAATGTATTGTGTTCTTCAAAATTGCGTAAAGAACAGGTTTTATGTACTCTCACCACACAAAATGAGTACATGAAGTAATGTATATGTTAATTAGCTTGGCTTAACCATTCTGTAATATATATATATTTCAAAACAACGTACTGTTTTTTGGGTTTTTGTTTGGATACAAGGTCTTGCTCTGTCACCTAAGCCAGAATGCAGTGGCACTATTATCATAGCTCATTGCAGTCTCATAACTCTTGGGTTCAAGTGATGCTCCCACCTCGGCCTCCCAAGTAGCTAGTACTCCAGCCTTGTGCCACCACACCCAGTTAATTTTTTAAATTTTTGTTACTTTTTTAAGAGGTGGGGTCTTGCTGTATTGCCCAGACTAGTCCTGAACTCTTGGCCTCAAGCGATCCCGCGTCTCCCTCCCAAAGTACTGGGATTACAGGCGTGAGCCACCAAATGTATTTTTATTTGTCAATTAAATAAATACATACATACAAATTGGAAAAAAATGTTGAGAACCACTGTTTTGGAGAATTATTTCAAAAGGCGAGTAATCAATTCTGTATTATCTGTTGCCAAAAAAAGACCATAGTTGTAAGACCCTCCTGCCTTAGTCCTCAAGTATATTTATAGCTACCATTTCATGTTAATAGCTGGCACCTAGTTTCTAGGACCACTCTGCCAGGGTTAATTAGCTAGTTTCTTTTCTCCTAAGCATGACAGATGATGTTTCCTTAAAGACGTCCTTCATGGTAGTTATGAAACCCAGAGATCTCTTGCTGTACCTCTCAGCATGACAGCCAAGAGAGTGGAAAGCATTTTTTTTCTTTTTTTTTTTTTTTTCTTGAGACGGAGTCTCACTCTGTCACCCAGGCTGGAGTGCAGTTGCACGATCTCAGCTTACTGCAACCTCCACCTCCTGGGTTCAAGCAATTCTCTGTCTCAGCCTCCTGAGTAGCTGGGATTGCAGGCGCCTGCCACTATGCCTGGCTAATTTTTGTATTTTTAGTAGAGACTGGGTTTCACCCTGTTGGCCAGGCTGGTCTTGAACTTCTGACCTCGTGATCCACCTGCCTTGGGCTCCCAAAGTGCTGGGATTATAGGCGTGAGCCACCGTGCCCAGCCAACTTTTTTCAAAAATAAAACCTGAGTATATAAAATATATTAGAGAATTCAGGTGGCCAAATGAGCAAAGTATGCAGAAAAATGAGACCTGGATAGATAAGAGACAGTAAAAGTACCTCCTCAATAAATAGTTTTAACTTTTAACCGAACTGTATTGTTCTTCTTCATTAGCATTTACAAGGTTTCTTCTCAGACTCCACATCATTCAATATTTTGATGGACATGTTATTTATCAAAGGCAAATATGAAAGTAAGTACTGCAATTTCTATTTACTGAAAAATTCTGCTGTTTGCTGGCCTGGGAATTAGGGGAGAAAATGAGTCATGCAAAAATGATTCTTATATCCCTGATAATTGGCTGAATTCTGGAGACCTTATGAAGTTTGAAAACATCGTATTGCATATCATCCCTTAAACTAAATATCCCAGATTTTACTTATGCTAAAATTGTGAAGCAGCTTTTAAAACATTAGCTCTTCCTGTTTGACCTCATAGTTTATTTCAACATTTAGCTAATTGCTAAATGACTTTGAGAAATAGCTTTTATTTTGTTGAAATACACTTTTCTGTAGATGGTGCTGAACAGATGAGAGCTTTGGGGGCCAACAGTAGAGGAACTCTGATTAACACTGCGATCCACTCTCACTTTTGGCAGGTGCTTTGGAAGTATTGATAGAGATGAAAAACCAAGATGTGAAGTTCACCAAAGATACCTATGTTCTTGCTTTTGCAATTTGCTACAAACTGGTAAGACTCCTTCCCCTAAACTTTGAGAGCATTGTGGGCAGTCTTTGAGAGAGGATTTTTTTTCTCTCTATAAATAAAATTCAGTTCCTCTGAAGTCTGTTTTCCATCTGGTGCAAATGTTTTAATTTTAAATGTATTTATTTTTAGAAAACTCAAGTTAGCCATATCAGACAGTTTTATGGGAAAAGTAATTTTTTCATCTTTCGCTCTTCTCTGGTAATTGTGTAGATAGTGAGAGCAAAAGGCAATGTGTTGGGTTTGGGCTCTGCTTAAAGTCATCTCGCATGCTGGACTCTGCTAGATCCATCTTCCCTGTTGTCCTTGTCTATGGAAATCTTAGCTTCCTTCATTGAGCTTTCAAGGACTACTTTGTCTTCATATTTGAAGGTTTTTATAGTCACCGAAACTGGAAGTGATGTTTGTCACCTCCAGGTATCCCTTAATTGTGCTCTATTTGTATCACCTCCCTGGTACTTCTGACACAGCCTAATGGTGTACTTAGTAGATGCACGTTCCATTCTCTCCACTTGAGTGTGAGCTCCTTGAGGCATCTTTGTATCCTACCACCTAACACAGTGCCTGGTATCCAGTAGTTCTTTAATAAACATATGTGACATGAAAGTGAACGCTGAGGACAGAGACCATGACTTATAAGTTCTTTTATCAATACAAAAAATTAGCTGGGCGTGGTGGCATGCACCTTGTAATCCCAGCTACTCAGGAGGCTGAGGCAGGAGAATTGCTTGAACCCAGGAGGCAGAGGTTGCAGTGAGCTGAGGTCGCACCACTGCACTCCAGCCTGGGCAACAGAGTGAGACTCTGTCTCAAAAAAAAAAAAAAATTATTTTATTATTACTGTTCCAGGATTATTTCTTGCCCACAGAAACTGTTTCTTCAATATTTAGTGAATGATTATTGAAATAGTGAAATGATCAATGTTTAATGTATTACTGTTGTCATTCATATCATTTAAACTTTGGAAACCTGGCACACAAAACCTCTTTGTACTGAAAACAAAGGAACACTAAGCAAAGTGGAAGAACATGGGCTGTTGAAAAACCCTCCTGAAGAGTGTAGCAATGCCAGTTTTCCAAAACAAGGGGATAGCTGGGTTATAGTGGAAGGAAAACCAACTGGAAATTGAGAAACTTGGAGTCTAGTCTCCACTTTGGTATTATATAGCTTATATATATGGCTTATATAGCTGTGAACTGATCACCTATCTCATTTTACAAATGAGATAGATTTGGGAGTCAGCAAACTTTTCTTTTAAAAGGCTAGATAGTAAATATTTTAGGTTTTGGGGGCCATGTATGTCTCTGCCTCATATGAACTCTGCCCTATATTGTTTGTTTTTGTTCTTACAGGCCTTTAAAAATGTTAAAGTCGTTCTTAGCTGTAGGCTACATTTAGCCCAAGGGTCATAGTTTGCTGACCTCTGGATTCAATAATTCTTTCATTCATACCATTCTACAATTCTAGGAGGCAAAACCAAAACCACACAGCACTAGATCATCACTTATTCAGCATTGTAATTCTCAGCCTTCTTGTCTTCCACTTAGGGATGCCTGCCTGAGTGTATGCTGCAATGACGAGAATTTCAGTTCTGCTTAGAGGCCATGCGCAGTGGCTCATGCCTGTAACCCCAGCACTTTGGGGGGCCAAGGCAGGCAGATCACCTGAGGTCAGGAGTTCGAGACCAGCCTGGCCAACATGGTGAAACCTTGTCTGTACTAAAAATACAAAAATTAGCCAGTGGTGGCACGTACCTGTAATCCTAGCTACTTTGGAGGCTGAGGCAGGAGAATCATTTGAACTGGGGAGGCAGAGGTTGTAGTGAGCCGAAATCACGCCCTTACACTCCAACCTGGGCAACAGAATGAGACTCTGTCTCAAAAAATAAAAAAAATAAATTAGGAAAGGCCAGAGGATTTTCTCCCCTGTGTTGTGTCCAAGAATAACTTGTTTCACCCAGTGGAGATGAGTTGAAAAAGTGATCTGGTCAGCCAGTAAAAATTCCACATCAATTCTGGGAACTGTCCTCTCTCATCCCATTTGAACTCTATTTTGACAGGAGTTGCAACTCCTGTCATGACAGATGACATAGTTGCACAGCCAGGCTGCTCTCATAAACCTAATCCCCCGCAGCATGCACAAAGGAAGAGGATTTGGTTTTACCACTGCTGTTTTTATATCACTGACATTCTTGGATTTTTCTTTTTGAGATTTCTGTTTTCAGAGGATTCTTTTATAATTTATGTTCAAATTAGTGTTCATGTTTTCAAATATTTGACGTATGAATATTTTCAGATTGGAAATTCCCCAGAAAAAGTTTCCTGGTGTTGTTGAGCCTTAATCAGCTATTTAATATAGTAGCAGGCAGAACCTTTATACTTGTAAACTATGGGGTCTGTGTCTAGAAACTAGCCTGCCCAGATACCAAGAGATGTGTTTATTTTCTGGTAAAAACTGCCCCGATTCAGAAAATTGAAAATGAGCTTTAAAAATAAAGTTAATTTAGATTTGACCTGCTAACATATCAGTAGCCTGGTGTATTTGCAAACAGTGTTTATATGGGGCTTAATCTTTTAAGTGGCTTAAGGTAGGCTCTAGGAAATCCTTACAAAAGGAACTCTAAATATTGAGCACTATTAATCATTTTATTGAATTTAAAGGTTTATAACATTAATCGAACAATCCTGTCTCCTCACAGAATAGCCCTGAGTCTTTCAAAATCTGTACTACATTAAGAGAAGAAGCTCTACTCAAAGGAGAAATTCTCTCCAGGAGAGCATCCTGTTTCGCTGTGGCATTAGCTCTGAATCAGGTAAAGCTTTGTGGTGTACATAAGTAAACTGGGAGTGGCCAGGACTTCATTACTTTTATTTGACCTTGCTTTTACTTTTTTCCTTCTGACTGCATCATAAAGAAGTAGTCCCCATAAAGAGACCAATGCCTTTGTTGCCATGGCAACCTATATCTATACCTGTACGGGCAAAGAATGTTTTTATTTACAGTTGGGGACCTAACATGCGTTTCTAAATAGAAGGGTAGAGAAATTTCTCAAGTAATTAAAATGAAAATTGCAAGTCATCGGATGACGTTGTAACGTTCTCAGAGAACAGTTTTATTTAATGCTCTCCAAAGTTGAATTAGCCTCAGATGAATGAAGACTGCTGTGTCAGCCCATTGTAGAAGTGGGATCCATCACATACTTCATAGTTATACCCAACTACTGCTGTTATTTGGGTGACTTTAGTGATCATTTAGCCTCATTCCCCTGACTGGACAGGTGGAGGTAGCAGAGACCCAGAGATAAGAGGGGACCTCCCTGAGGTCATGCCTCAGTGATGGCCAGAGTTAGAGCTGGAACCCTGGAACACACATCTCTCTGGAAGAGTCTCTCCTGAGATTTCCTATTCCAGAGCTTAAAAAATATGAAATGCTTTATATGTTTCCTATGTGGTAAAAGGAAATTTTATAGCAGAAAAATAGTAACCAAACCAGGTTGTTTTCCTGGCTGGTAAAATATAGCTGGAGAACTCTTTTATTAGAAATCAAAACATGAGGGTGATCCATTTCCATATACTGCTGGGAAGAGTCACTGAAGGACAAGACTTAAGAGATTATACACTTTCCAGGCTTCTGCTGGACCAAGATCATTTTTTTAACTTTCTAAGCTTCTCTTGCTGTCCAGGGGAATTATTTTGTCTTCTTAATCTGTCATGAGGTGAGTAAGTGAATTAAAGTCTCTTCAAAAGCATGTGTTTTTCTTTCTTTGTATAGCTCCTGTAGTTTTTCTTTATTTAAGTCTAAGTTATACTGTTTGGTGCACAGATACATCATCACTGTTACATCATCACTGTGAATCCCTCACTTTAGCATTATAAAGTGCCCATCTAGGAATGTTTACTGCTTTTGCCCTGAATTCAGCCTTATCTAATATTAATAACTCCATCCCTCTTTTTGCTTATTTCTCTTTGTTTTGATGAGGTTTTCATTTGCCCAATATACAGCTTTTCCTATCCTTTATTTTTGCAATCTTTCTGAATTGCTTTGTTTGAACTTTATGTCTTATATACTGCATAAATTTCTATGTCGCTTTATAATATGATGCTAATCTTTTAATATCCATTTATATTAATATGACATATTTGATCTTAGGTCTCATTTGATGCTTTTTGTTTCTATAAGTTTTTCTACTATCTTATGCCATGTGGTTATTTTCTCTAGTTGGTATTTTTGCTCTAGTGGTGACTTTAAAACCATAGTTTTGATTTTCTTAATTCTTTAATTCTTTGGACAAGACCTGTTAATTCCCTAATATAAGTAATGGTGAAAATAGTGTATTTCCTCTGTTTTTCATCTTATTTTCTTCCTCCCCCTCCAACACCCAATTTTAGCTCGTATTTTGCTTTGATAGTGTTCACTTTACTCTTAAATGTACTTGATTTGTCAGTTTTAAGTGATATTTTTTTGGCCTGCTGATAATAAAGATAAGGAAATGGGAATGCCTTCTTTACCTTTCATCTCTTTTCCTCTCTTTCTAACTTTCGTTAGTGTTAACGTTGTTTCATTGTCCAGGCATATAACATTTACGCTCTGTTCTGTAGCCATACTCCCCACTTTTGAGTCCTGTGTATAGCTAAATAGGTTGTTTGGTGCTAATTGTTTTTCCAGTTTTCTCTTTGTTGGCTGAAGTGAGTATTTTAGTAAATTCTTTGGAGGAACAATATCCCTTGAGTTCTTGGTATTTTAAATTATTTTATTTGCCTGTTGTTTTTGTACCTGAACTACAGTTTGGCCAGATTTACAATTTCAGGGTGACATTTGCTTTTCTTGAGGTACTTTTAGACATTGCTTTTCTGTCTTCTGGTATAGAATATTGCTGTGGAGAAATCTAAGGCCTGCCTGATTTTTTTCCACTTCTGATTAATGTGATCTTGTTCATTTTTCTCATTTCTATCTTCTATATCCATGGAAATATTTTTCAATTAGGGTTTCTTCATTGGTGGCCAGTTATATTCTTTTCTTTATTTTTTTTTGTTAGAGTCTCACTCTGTCGCCCAGGCTGGAGTGCAGTGTTGCAGTTTTGGCTCACTGCAACCTCTGCTCTGCCTCCTGGGGTTAAGTGATTCTCCTGCCTCAGCTTCCTGAGTAGCTGGGATTACAGGCATGTGCCCGTCAAATTTTTGTGTTTTAGTAGGCATGTTCCCAGCTAAATTTTTGTATTTTAGTAGAGACAGGGTTTCACCATGTTGGCCAGGCTGGTCTTGAACTCCTGACCTCAAGTGACCTGCTGCCACAGCCTCCCAAAGTGCTGGGATTACAGGCGTGAGCCTGTGTACCAGTTGTTTTCTTAGTTTTGTTCTACTGTGTTCCTTTCCTCCTTTTGAAAATACCTTCTTTATGAGTGTCATGTGGTGATTCTTTTTTGACTATTCATCGTTGAAAAGTGTTAAGTTTCAGGCCTACCACAATGGCTCCTGCCTGTAATCCCAGCACTTTGGGAGAGGGGAGGATCACTTGAGGCCAGGAGTTTGAGACCAGCCAAGACAACATAGGGAGACCCTGTCTCTACAAAAAATAGGTAAATAAATAAAACAGGTGCAGTAATACATAGTACATGCCTGTAGTCCTTGCTGCTCAGGAGACTGAGGCAGGAAAATAGCTTGTGCCCAGGAGTTTGAGGCTCCATGATTCCACCACTACCCTCCAGCCTGGGCAACAGAGCAAGACTCCGTCTCAATAAACAAATAAATAAATAAATTCAAAAATAAAAGAAAAACTTAAGTTTCTTTTAGATCAGTCATTTGTAGATTCATGTCAGAGAGAGAGAGAGCAACAGAGCGGGACACCAGAGCACTGTTCTAGACTAGCAGGATTTTTCTTCATATAAGCCAGAGTTTTGTCTACAAGTATACACAGGCTTCATTTTTTTAAGTCAACAGGAATAGGCACTGAGGTGGGTTTTGGTATGCAGTCTCTTCTCTGCTGCTGCCGTCTTAGGAACCTACTGCTTCCTATGAATATGGCTTGTCTACGGAAACGCTTGACTAGCCTCTTCTCTGCCACCACAAGGATCCATGGAAGTTCTCTTTACTAGTCCTACACTCTGTTCTCATCATTGTAAATAGGAATTTAGGTTTTGTACTTCAGGTTGTGCCCTTACCTTTGAGAGTTGTACTGTTGTAGGTTCTTTGTGAGATACAGAGCACTGTCCACCTCTGACTGCCTTCTCCTGAACCCTGCCAGCCTCCATTTCCAATGTTTCTGGCAGTGTTTCCAGCTCTGCTGTGGTTTGAGGTTTCTATGTTCTAATTATGTATGTCAAAGACAGGCTTTGCACTTTGTTCCTCATTCCTATTTTTAGAAGCTGATTCCAATAGGAGAAGGGGAAATGCCAACTTTATGCCTGCGTCTTAAGAACTGGACTCAGGCAGGCTGTTAAAACATTCAACAATATGCGACTGGATGGAGCTTTTTATGGAGTGTTCAGTTTTGATTTCCAAAACATTTTTTTCTTTGTGGACTTCAAAACCCTGAGGTCACCTTAATAGGAATATACTGCCTTCTCTAAGTGAACTTTTACAATAACATTAGTTCCTATGATACGGAATATGATTTGTTTCTCTTCCTTCTAGAATGAGGTGGCAAAAGCTGTGTCCATTTTTTCTCAAATCATGAATCCAGAAAGTATAGCCTGCACTAATTTAAATGTAAGTGACTTATTTGTGGTTTAAGGTAAGCCTTGAAATGTATTATAATAAATGTATTATAATAAAATTATGCTTAAATTTTTTGGCTGTATACAATGACTTGATCTGCCAAGGTTTTCATTCAAATCCACAATCATTTATTGAGTTCCTCTATGTGAAAAATTACAGTATCACCCTTGTGAGAAGAGTCAACACAGCTGTTGCTTCCAGGAGTTTGTAAACAGGTAGGAGAGAGGTGGATATGCTCATATATAAGACATGGCTAGATGCTGAAGACATGAGGCGTGGCTAAGAAAGCTGTAGATGTAGGGACGAGGAGGGGATGGAGACAGATCCTCCAGGCTCTTTACCAAGCCTTAAGAGAAACCTATGTGCTAACTGCATATTGGTGGTACCTAACTCATGGCATTGTGGCAGTTAATGAGCTTATATACTTATGGTACACAAAATAGTGCCTGACATGTGGTAAATATTCAGTAAATGTTATCAATTGTCATTTTTATTATGTTGCCAGTATGCCATGGTCCTCTTCCCCATTAACTTACCTGGGCCACCCGGGACACTTATTTGGGACCTTGTGGTCTGGGTCAGCAAGTGTCTGCATATGTATCACCAAGACATACAAAACCTTAATCCCTAAAACTAAAAGCAAAGGAAAAAAAATTATCTCAGATTCGCCAGATTCATTCTAATAATAAAGTTTGAGGCATATTACCACTCCCAGAGTTTGAGCAGTGAGTCATGAAACCTTCCTGGACCAATTATAAAAGACTATCTTGTAAGGACACCATAGTCCCCATTCAGCCTGCCCATATTGAGACTCCTTGTATACTGTGTCTGCTTGTGTGTAGGGAATTGCAAAAGAAAAACACTTTCAGGAGCTTATAGTCTTCTGAAACAGTCAAAGGATTGAGATGAAGAAAACATTTTCAGAAAAATGGAAATGTGTAAGCATTAGCATGACACAACTAGGATAACAGGTCACAATCAATGGAGTATTCCAAGATGAGTAGATGAAGGGGGTCGGGGTGGCCGGCAGGAGCAACGTGAGGGGCCCTTAGGGCAGGTACCTGCTGAACAGTGCTCTGGAGGAAGACAGGACTGTGGGGTTGGAGGGAATGAGGTGGAGAGTGTTATTTGTTGGGAGATTGGTTTTGGTGGAGCTTCTATTTAAAAGAATATGAACTGTGGCTGGGCGCGGTGGCTCACACCTGTAATCCCAGCACTTTAGGAGGCCAAGGCAGGTGGGTCACGAGATCAGGAGATCAAGATCATCCTGGCCAACATGGTGAAACCCCATCTCTACTAAAATACAAAAAATTAGCCGGGCGTGGTGGCATTTGCTTGTAGTTCCAGCTACTCAGAAGGCTGAGGCAGGGGAATTGCTTGAACCTGGAAGGTAGAGGTTGCAGTGAGTCAAAAACGCACCTTTGCACTCCAGCCTGGCAACAGAGCAAGACTCTGTCTAAAAAAAAAAAAAGGACTATGAATTGTAACTACCTCTTACTAGCTCTGAGTCCTTAGGTTAATTTGCCCCTGGAAACCCCCCAATTTCCTTTGATCTGAAACAGTAATAGTAGCTATCTTTTTGTTGTGGGGATTAAAATAAATAATGCATATAAAATAGTTAGCATAGTGCCTGGCAGGTAGTCAGTGTTCAGTGAGTATTTGCTAATACTAATAGTATTTATTTGACATGAGTTAAATTAAAAGGAATATTCATTTGTACCGAATCCTAGAACCTAGTGAACAGGAATTATGCATAACTCTAAACTTCTGAAAGAGTCATACTTAATAATGCTTTTCAGTTCTTCCCATAGTAGTTATCTTCAAATGTCATCCCACACCAGTGCCCAGGTGATTTTTCAGAGAATGACTAGATGAGCATTTATGGTAAATTTTGGAGAACAAGGTCAGGCAAGAAGTATGCCATAAGAATACCTCATATTGGACTTCAACTTTACTTTGCAAAATGCTTTTACATGAGAGAAAGGTGAGCCCAACGAACCAGAAAAATGGAGACAGTGATAACAGAGAACCTGAAAGAATGGAATGAATTTGGAATGGAAGAAACAAAATACTAGAAAAATATCGACAGAGACTTTTTAGTTTCAAAGGGCGTAAACCTGGAGGGCATGAACTCAACTACATATACCTGGTAATGGATTTGATATGAACTGATGAATGCCATAAGAAAGCAGGGAAGTATGAGGGCTCAGAAATGAGTTTATAAGGCATTAATGGTGAGGCAGAGGAAGCACCAGAAAAGAGAGGGAAGGACTCACAGCTTTGTAGAAATTCAAGAGGCTGAGAGCCCTCATTGTCTTAGCCTGATGCAGGTAGCTGCTGTTCATCTTGGGGGCTGAAACAGAAACTACAGGTCAGAGCAGGTGGGTCAGCCTGAAAAGCTCATAGGCTAAAGCAGGTCTGGGAGGCCAAGGTTGGCAAAGGTCCAGAGTCTAGAAGGTCGGGTCATTTGAGCAAGTGATACCAGTAAGCTAAACAGACTGGGAAGCCTGGTCTTCCAGCAGGCACACTATGTCTTTGACTTCTCTGCTTCCTGCTGGATATGGACAGCTCTGGTATTCCAGTATATAACTGCTTCTGAGACTGTGTCCTTTAGATGTCCCATCTATCATGATGGGACAGAATAGAACTGCTGGGATTAGCAAGATACTCTTTCGCTAAAGCTAAAGCTATCCAAGTCTCTTATAACATCAGGTAGGAAAGAAAGGAGAACAGGGGGAAAAGTGTTTTACTTGGATCATTGGTCACTTTTCCTAGAGTTCAAGCAAGGTTGAGGGTTTTGGTACCCATTGGTGATAAGAAATCAAACTGTGAGGTAAGCAGGGTTTTAATTTAATTTATCTAAGGTATCATGCTTGGTACTTTAGGTATGTTATACAACTTTATCAAAACAATTTTTCTCCACATTATAGATGTGGAAAATGAAGATTCAAGGGTAAGTAAATTACCTTAGTTCTCCCAACTAATTAAATAGCAGAGTCAGAGTTTTAACACCAACAACTCTGCCTGCGAAGCCTAGGGTTTCCCTACCACTCCAGACCTACAGAGATGAAAAAGGTGTGTCTCTGTTATCCAGGACTAGGATTAGTGTCTCCTCGAGTAATAAAAAGAACACAAGACTGGATGTCAAAAAACACAGTCCCACCAGTGCATGTATTCCACCTCTGGATTTAGATTTCTCGTCTCCTTCCATCCTGGCCTATCTCTCACAGTTATAAGAATCTAGTAATGGGCTGGGTGCAGTGGCTCATGCCTGTAACCTCAGCACTTTGGAAGGCTGAGGTGGGTGGATTATTTGAAGTCAGGAGTTCAAGACCAGCCTGGCCAACATGGTGAAACCCCATCTCTACTAAAAATACGAAAATTAGCTGAATGTGGTGCGTGCCTGTAATCCTGGCCTACTTGGGAGGCTAAGGCAGGAGGATTGCTTGAACCTGGGAGGCCGAGGCTGCTGTGAGTGGAGATCACACCATTGCACTCCAGCCTGGGCAACAGAGCGAGACCCTGTCTCCAACAACAACCGAAAGAATCTAGTAATGATTTGATTTCTTTTTTTTTTTTTTTTGCCAAATGAGAAGGTGCTTTGGTGGAGTTAAACATGAGCTTGCTGAGCATGAGATTGTCCATTCCCAGTAGGAGGAGCAATGCAGGGCATGGTGAAAAAAGCGTGTGCTTGCCACCAGGCAGCAGGAACAGCTCCTTTCCTCTGAGGGCTGGAAAAGAAAGTCAGCCTATGGATGCAGTGGGATGGGCGTGTTTCAGGCAAGGACTCCGTAAGGAACCTTGAAGTGATACTGAGTATGAATCATCCTTTCTGAACTGCGTCACAGAATTACCCACTGTCGGGAAACTTAAAGATAGTTTCAGTGTTTAAAAATTCTCAGGAAATTCTTTCAAATGTTCAACCCAAATTTCTCATGTTGCAATATAAGCCTATGTCATCTTCCTCGGGGATGATGAAAAAGATATGGTTGCCATTCTCAAGTTTAGTTATCTTTTAGATTCTAGGTGTCTGTTAGTAGAGCACAGTTTAAAAAACGACTGCGTGGACCTTACATTCTCCAAGGCTGACTCATCTACTTGAAATCCTTAAAGGCAGCTTGTTAATTATTGAGCGATGGAAACTGACAGATTGGCTGAGTAGAGTCTGTTTAGTCAGTATTCACAGAAATAAATGAAACTTTTTTTCTGATGTGCTTTAAAAATTAATGCCTTATGCTAAAATCTTTTGCTACTGTCAATTGAAATTTGAACTTACAAATTTTCTCCCTAACTTAATTGTTTTATTAAATTGTTCCTGTTACCAGTGTGACCCAAAGGGCCCAGTTTCCTATTTTCCCTGCTATTTCTTAATACATACTGCGTTGTTTTAACAGCTCTCATCAAAACACATGTATGTTGACTCTGCCTTTTCAGTCTGAATTTATCTCAAACATAGACCCTCTTTAGCAATGCTGCTTCACGTCAAATAATTAATTTCCACTTCCAAATATGTCTGAAAGTAGCAGAGACCCATGCAGGGTAACTTTCCACTGATTGTATTTGAATTCTAATCGTTTGTCTATAAACCTGGCTTGTCTCCAATTGGAGATCCACTTTGGAACCGAATTTACCTTGCAAGGGAATTGACAAGTGGTTTTGCTGCTTTTATTTATTTGTTAATACAGGTGAATGTCTTAATGCCCCTTTCTCCTACCCACTTAGGTCACCCTAAAGTTCTAGCTTATGCTGGGAAGTCTAGGGTGCACAGGGAGGAAAGGAGACAGGACTCATTTCTCACAAATTCCTTCGTGGCAGCATCTTACTCATATGTGTGAGTTAAGAATTGCATTTGTTTGGGAGCATTGTAGTCTCCAAAAATAAAAATAAAAGCCTATACAAATTAGAGCCTTTATTTTTCTTCCATGTGGAAAATGAGTCTGGTCCGTCCACGCCTGGTGTGGCATTCCATGATGTCATCAGGAACCCAGCCTCTTTCTATGTTTCTACTCTACCATCTTTAACACGTGACTTCCATTCATTGCATCCCTGGTCCAGCAAGAAGTAGGAAAAAATGGGAGTGAACAAAGAAGTTCATCCCTTTTAAAGATGCTTTTTCAAATGTCTCATCCAACAACTTGTACTGGTGGTGTTATTGGCCAGAACTTAATCCCATGACCACACGTAATTGCGAAGAATACTGAGAAATAGTCTTTGAGTTTCATACATACATGAAAGCATCTATTAAGGTTTGGGTGTTCTGTTATCAAAAAAGGAGGAGAGAATGGATATTGGTTAGAAAACTGGCAGCCTCTACCACACTGTGATATTCTACTTCGAATATAGCAAACCTAAGACAAAAATAAAAGAAACAAGAAATGTAAATTTCTGCATCCTCAGGGCTTCTGTTCCCTTTTTTGTTCAAAGGTATCTAGTAACGTATTTCCTGATGCCTCAGAAAATCAGAGGCAGGAAGCACATGTTCTTTAAATAGTTTTTCTTACCAAAATCTCCCCTGTTCCTTACTAACTGAGTTTCCCAGTCTTTTGTTTGAAATCTGTAAGATTAAGGCAATGTGCTGTACCCTACTTTCGTTTTCTTTAGCTGAACCCTGAGACTGGTTTGAGATAAGCCCCTAGCTTTAAACTTTCTCTTTGCCTTTTATCAGTGACTGCCTTATGTGCATTGCTCTTCATCAATGTATTTTAAGGTAGTGAGCCTTGTTTTTGAAATCCCTACTGAATCAGAGATAGTTGCCGGAGGGAGGAAGAGAAGTTGGGAAAACTTAGGAAGAAATATTGAAATCTCCCAGGGAGCACATCGTTTCTAGCAGAGGGCTCTAGATGGTTTATTTTTGTGAACTGCTGGGGGAGCCAAGCTCCTCTTCTTGTTTATTGTTATTGAGGGTTGGCCGGGTGCCTTGTACTACATAGCATTGCATTGAACAAGATAGACTTGCCTTTGCCTTGGAGAGGACACCACCATCAACCAAATTGGGATTGGTTTTTACTAACAAAGGTATTAAGAACTGTGAAGAGTCAGAGATTTTTTCCCACTTGGAAGCTAATGAGTTAGCCTGCCCCAGTTTCATGGATGCTAGTGGAGTATACAAGACAAAGAGAAATAAAGGACAATTTATTATGTAGCAGTGGCCAGAATATTAGCATCTTTGCTTCAGTTACCTGAGCCCCAGTTCCTGCGGGGAGACATGAAAAGCTCTATGTGCCTCTTGCACACATAGTAAGTTGCTTTCAAGAGAGGAACACTGAGCTTAGAAAACCCAAATCTCTTATAATGGCCAGTAAGCATGCCTGTCCTTTGCTTTGGATGTGACACTGTGTCTGTTGTCCACAAACATCCTTGAAAAGATAGTCTGGAATAAAAGCAGTCAGTGCTTTTGCTCTCAAGGCATGCAGAAATTTGAGCGAGCCACAGAGAGTTGTCTCCCAAAAAGGGTGTGCTCATGGTTTTTCCTAGACTTTAGAACACTGAATTTAAATTATGTTCTTTGTATTTAGTCTACCTGGGATCATTTCATTCTGTTCTTCAAAACCAAAGACAACCCCTCATCCTGATAAGTTACTAAACAAATACAAAATGTTACCAAATAGACTGGTGAGAAAACAGCTGGTTTAATATAAGAAAGGTAAATCTCTTCCAGGAAAACTATCTTTTGTAAGGATCAAGAGCCTTAAAAATGTCTTTATGCTTTGACTTAGTAATTTCACTTCTGGGAATCAAGTCTAAGACATTACCAGTTTTTCAAAGTACATATGTACACATTGGTCAGTATAATAAAGTATGGTATATTTCCATGATGAATTGCTATGTATGTGTTAAAAAGTGAGGTTTCTTTTTTGTAATATTAATGCTATGAGGAAATAAATGTCTATTATGTAGTAATTGACCAAAAGTAGAATCACATTTTGGGTTTGGAAGATTTATACATCAAATTATAAACAGTGGTTGTAACATCAGTTGGTGAATTCTCAGTTATTTGCACTTTCTTTAAACTTTTTCTTGAATTATACTAGTGAATATTGGTAATTAGGGAGGAAATGTGTTTTTTCTTGTGTTAGTTGCACCTATGTGGTGGAAGATAGGTGATAGTGTCATTTTGAAAGCACACTACAGCACCCAGTTTTGAAAGTTCATTAATAGATAGTGTAAATAGGAGTGCCTCATTAACATTTCAGCCAGCTTCCACTCTATGCCTGCAGTAACCTGTGTGTCTGCAACTTCCTAACAACAGAAAATGCTGCAGGTACCATTTGCCCCTAGCCAGTTCTGGTTGTCCGTTTTCACATTGCTATAAAGAAATGCCAGAGATTGGGTTATTTATAAAGGAAAGGGGTTTAATTGGCTCACAGTATCACATGGCTGGGGAGGCCTCAGGAAATACGATCATGGGGGAAGGCGATGGAGAAGCAATTATCTTCTTCACAAGGCAGCAGGAAAGGGCGAGAGCAAGGGCAACTGCCACTTATAAAACCATGAGATCTCATGAGAACACACTCACTATCATGAGAACAGCATGGGGGAAACCATCCCCATGATCCAATCACCTCCCACCAGGTCCCTCCCCTGACACCTGGGGGTTACCATTCAAGATGAAATTTGGGTGGGGACACAAAGCCAAACCATATCACTAGTCTTATGAGACTGTCTGATTGTCTTATCCTCTGAATCTAGAGGATGTAGAAAGGAGGAAACCAATATTTTTGTTCACTGAGTATACTGGTATTTTATTTAATGTTCATAAAACCCAAAATGTGAGATCTAAATCTGTTTTCCCCATTTTACAAATGAGGGCATTTAAATTGAAAGATTAAGTACCAGTCCAGAGTCACTTAGCTGGTACTTGCCAGTGTCTAGATTTCAGCCCAAGTATCCAGGCACCAAAATCTCTGCTCTCTCCAGTGTTACCCTTTTTTTTTTTTTTTTTTTTTTGAGACGGAGTCTCGCTCTGTGGCCCAGGCTGGAGTGCAGTGGCCGGATCTCAGCTCACTGCAAGCTCCGCCTCCCGGGTTCACGCCATTCTCCTGCCTCAGCCTCCCGAGTAGCTGGGACTACAGGCGCCCGCCACCATGCCCAGCTAGTTTTTTTTGTGTATTTTTAGTATAGATGGGGTTTCACCGTGTTAGCCAGGATGGTCTCGATCTCCTGACCTCGTGATCTGCCCGTGTCGGCCTCCCAAAGTGCTGGGATTACAGGTTTGAGCCACCGCGTCCAGCCTCAGTGTTACCCTTAAACAGGTTTTGAAGTTGTAGGGTTTTTTTGTTTTTTTGTTTTTGTTTTTGTTTTTTGTTTTTTGTTTTTGTTTTTGTTTTTTGTTTTTTGTTTTTGAGATGGAGTCTTACTCTGTTGCCAGGCTGGATTACAGTGCCACAATCTCGTCTCCCTGCAACCTCTGCCTGTCAGGTTCAAATGATTCTCCTGCCTCAGCCTCCCAAGTAGCTGGGACTACAGGTGCGTGTCACCACGCCCAGATAATTTTTGCATTTTTAGTAGAGATGGGGTTTCACCATGTTGGCCAGAATGGTCTCTATCTCTTGACCTCGTGATCTGCCCGCCTTGGCTTCCCAAAGTGCTGGGATTACCGGCAAAGTTGTAGTATTTTGACTAACTATTGGAAAGCACATTTTGGCTCGTGAGCGTAGATTTAAAGCACTTTTTTGAACTTGTGCAAGCAAATAGGAAGTAGGATCAAAGCAGGGTAGGTGCCTGTAAATGAAGGCTTATCTAACCAGGTACATTTCTCAGCATTGAGACACTGACTAAGTCTTGGTTTTGTTTGTATCTTCTTAATATGCAGGTTATAATCCATATCCAGTTAAATAAATTGGAAAACCTGATAGAGACTCTAAAAAATGCTGCAGAAGGAAATTTATCAAAATTTGTGAAAAGATGTATGTTCTCAGAGGAAGTGGTGAGTATGCAAGTGCTGCAGAAATCATTTGAAAGTGAAAGGACACTCTTAAAATTGTTCACTAATTTCTCAATTCTAAAGCTTACCTTAAAGAAATTGTCAAATATGGCAGCTTCTCTGTTGTTCCTGTTTTAAGACTTCCATGTATATGTGCAAAGATTTTTTTTTTCTTCTAACAGAATATATCCTCTGAAATTCTAGGAAACTTTTTCCTTTTACCTTATTCTTTTCTCCACACTTTGTGTTCATGGACCTTGGCTCTCTTTTCCTTCTGGAGGACAATTTTACACCTTTTTCCTTTTCCCTCAAGCCTCCAATACCTTCTCCTCACTTTTCACTCTCAGTTGATCACCTTATTTCTTGTTTCGTGGAGAAAATAGAAGTAATCCAAAGACAATGACTTCTACATGGACAACCTCTGGCCCCTTACCCTATATACCCGTGATCCCATGACGACTGGATACGCCTCTCACGCCAGCCTCTCCAGTCGTGCACTGGATCCCATCCCCTCTGACCCACTCCGCAGCATCAGTCCAGAAGTTGACTCACTCTTTTGGGCATCATCAGTATCCCCTTCCCTGTGGCTCCTTCTTGTCAGCAAATAGTAGGATATACTATCTCTCATCTTAAAAAAGAAAAACAGTCTTCTATACAAATGAAAAGACAGACCATGTGTTTAGATAAGAAGACCTACCCTCATAAAAACTCAGTTTTTTTCAAGTTACTGTGATAATGTAGTATGACTGCAATAAAAATATCACTTTTTTTTTTTTCTGTAAAGGTTAGTTGAACAAACAAGACTAGCTGGAAAAGCCCTGTGAAAGAGGGGCAGTAAGAGTTGCTCGGTCTAGCAGATCTCAAAACATGTGAAAGTTTCTACAATTCAAACTGTGGCTTAGAACATGAATAAGGCAGCTAATGGGACAGAATAGAAAGTCCAGATAGAGACCAAATTGCAGATACAAATTTAGTGTAACGTAGAGGCAAGTATCTCAAATCAATCTAAATGGATAGACTAGTAAGTAGTACTAGGATAAGTAGAGAGCCAATAGAAAAAGATACAGTTGGTTATGTTCTTATACCACAAACCAGGATACATTCCAAATGGATGAGAATTTAAATTTTTAAATTGAAACACACAAGTAGTAGATATAAACATTAGTAGATTATTTAATGTCCTGGGAGTGGAAAAACAGCTTTCAGTCAAAATCCAAATCAGTCAAAGAAGTGATAAATTTGACTAAAAAATGTGAAAACCTGTTTTTTTGTGTGGCAAAAAGTCCACAAGCAAAGTCAAGAGGTAAGTAACAAATTGGAAGAAAGTACAGTTTTTAATCATACTGACAAAAGGCTAACTTGCCCTAATATTTCAAGAGCTCTTTTTGAGGCCAGGTGTGGTGGCTCATTCCTGTAATCCCCGCACTTCGGGAGACTGACACAGGCATATCATGAGGACAGGAGATCGAGACCATCCTGGCCAAAATGTAACCCCATCTCTACTAAAAATATAAAAATTAGCTGGGCGTGGTGGTGCACACCTGTAGTCCCAGCTACTTAGGAGGCTGAGGCAGGAGAATCGTTTGAACTAGGGACCCGAGATTGCGCCACTGCACTCCAGTCTGGGGACAGAATGAGACTCCATCTGGGGAAAAAAAAAAAGAGCTCTTTTTGAAAATTCTGAGAAAAGAACCAACAACCCTAAAGAAAAATGGGTAAGAGATATGGACAGAATTTACTAAAAATGAATCGTGAATGGCCTTTAAACATTAGAAAAGATTCTCTTGCCCATATCAAGAGAAATGCAAAATAAAACTACCCTATGATAGTTCTCTTGAATAGAAATCTGCAAGTTTGCCAGCCTACTTGGTTGGTGAGGCTCTGAGGAAATGGGCACTTTCATTTGATGCTGCTAGAGGGAATACAGATTGGTACACTACAAATAATTTCACCCTTTGACTCAATCCTCCCACCCACTTCTTGGAGTATATTCTAAAAATATACTGGCAAATATAAAGAAGTTGTATGTACAAGGCTATTTGTTGCAGGCCAATTTGTAAGAACAGCAGACTGGAAAAAAGCCCAAATTTCCATCAGTAAAGGACTAGTTGTACAAATTAGGGTCTGTTCGTACAAGGACTGCCATGTAACTCACAGGAAATGAGGAACAGCTACATCATACACTGTTACGGATCACCATTTATATGGATCACTTAAATATGTTTTTAAGTGACAAAAACAAGATGCAAATGGGTATGAGTGGTATGCCTTAAGAAGGTGGGACCATATAGTTATTTTTATACATTTACGTTTTTGGAAAACACTACGAATGGAAAAAGCAAAACTTAAGTGGTTACGTTGATTTCTTTTTCAGATCTTTTTTTATAGAAATACTGCTGATTTTTGTATGTAAATTTTGTAACCTGCAGTTTTACTGACTTTATCAGTTCTAAAGGTTTTTTTGGGTGAGACTTTAGGAACCCCAGTTAATTATTATGCATATTTCAGAAATGCCAAAGGAGTAGATTTTTAATGTTTCACTGCAGAAAAAGACACATTGGTAGGTGATGGATAGGTTTATTAGCTTGACTGAATCTTTCTACGGTGTACACATAGATTGAAACATCACATTGAACTTTATAAATTTACACAATTATTATTTGAGAAAATAATTGACAAATTATTTTTTTAATTTACTTAAAAAAATTAAATAAAAGTTTTGAAAGTGAAAGTGAGGGATTGAAGCATGACTTCTCCAAATGTACCTTGTTTGTATATTTAACTTAGGAACTATTTAAATGTTTGCAGAACTATAAAGCAGAGTTAAATAAAAACAAAGTGAAAAAGCAATTCCTAAAAATGGAAAGTGAAATGAAACAGATGAACCCATGTGTCACATTGATGGCTTAAGTACACAAATTGGAATTCTTGTAGGTCATTTGAAATATAGTAATTTGTATGTCTCTCATAGAATGTAACAAGGTGAAAGAAGTGTAAAGAAATTGTACATTATTGACAGTGATCATGTTGTTAGTGATAATACTGATATTGTCATTTTGACCAACCAGGCGACCTGTTGGTTGGTCCTCCCTTCCTCCCTCATTTCTCCTGCCTCTCCCTTTTATAGTTTGGTCCAGGCTGCAGCAGGATTGGCACTAGAGGGCAGTGGCTGCTTCCTCCTCCTGCTCACTGTTGCCTTCCCAGCCCTGTTCCATTTCCTCACTTCCACCCAAAGGCTTCTTCCTGCTGATAAAAGGGAGCTTGTCAGGAAAATGACTGACTGGATATGGTTGATTTAAAGCTTCTTTCTATTTGCGGTCTTAGCTCTGTGTAGGCTGCGACCCACCCAACCCTTTTGGAGTAAGTTTAGCAAAGTAGGGAAAGTAGAAGCATGAACAGATTTTAAAGTGCATAGTTATATATATGCGTACATGTCAAATGCAACTTCCGTTTTCTCAGCAGCATTGATGTTAACAATCACTCCTTAGACCTGATCCATCAATACGTTGTCACCCATTTGTATGGCTAAAGCACCCAAACAAACTTCATATTGAAAAATACTCATATAAGACTCTTTTACTTAGAAAATGAACCCTCCAGTTCAGTGTCTTCCCTTTGGTTACTGTGGGACCACTCAAGGAACTGCTTGATGAGAAATGGATTGATTCATGTAATTCCAGTAGCTTTGGAGCTAGTTCTAAATATATATGTGTGAGATTGCAAGTGGAGTCTTATGTTGTAAAAGTCTGCATTTTACAAATGGTGGATTTAATGTTTATGCCAACAGTTATTTAAAATGTGTCATGTAGGGAGATAAGACTATAAAGTATCATAGGTGCTATTATACCACCACAGGACTATTGAAAAGAATTGCTGATTTATTTCTGTAGTTATGTAACAGAACTGTTACAGTTTTTAGATCAAAATTACCTCCAGCTTGGCATGTTTGCTCTGCTGCTTTTAGAAGCCATATGCTGCACGTTAAGTCATTTTCACCTTGAACATGAGGACTAAACAAGCTATTCTTTTTTAAGAACATTAAGAAGTGCTTAAGCTGCTTGTCTGAAGGTATGGCTGGGAGCCCTTGTCACAAAGGAAGATGTGCAGGTGCAAATAGTGTTATATATTTGGAAGAGGGCCAAAGGATTTGTTAGGAAGCTTCATCCCAATTCAATTCCATCAAGAAATGTGTTGAGATTGTACCCTTGATAAGGATTGAACTAAGTAAAATATTGATTTTATTCAGAAAGTAGCTTCACATTCTCCATTCTAGTTCACCCATTTTTGAGGTTAAATACCACCATATACTTGTGACTCTACTACGTATGCCTCTAGCCTAGACCTCTCCTTCATGCCCCAGACTTGTATATCCAACAGCCTTCTAGACATACCCATTTAGACGTTTCACAGCCATCTCAATCAGGTCCAAACAGAGCTCTTGATTTTCCCTTCCAAATCTCGTCCTCCCTGTCTTCTCTATCAGGAAGTGGTAGCACCCATCATCCAGCTATTGAAGCCCCAGTTGAGAAGATAGCTTTGACTCCTCCCTTTCCTTCACCTATTCAAAAATTAGTCCTTTCAGTGTAAACTCCAAAATATACCTCACATATGTGTACTTCTCCGTCTTTTCTGTACCTTTCCCAATCTAAACTACCATCCTTTCTTATATGGGCTGTGGTGTGGGCCTCCAGAATAGTCTCCACATTTCTGTACACTCCAGTTCATTCTCTATGTAACTTTTTAAACATAAATGAGATCATATCCCACTTTAGATGCTCTGATGGCTTTTTTAGAATAAATTTCAAAAAACTTACTGTGAAATATATATAAAGCCCTATATAATTTGGCCTGCCTCCTCCTGCTCTAATCATTACATGGAACAGTTGATTCCACTGCTGTATGACCTCCTTTACTTGGTGTGTTTCATTATATATGATGTGTTACTTGAACCCCCCTTGTATATTAGGTATGATTTTCAAGTACTAATTTTGGACTTTGTGTGTAGCTTTTGGAGTCCCTCATAGTAATACTTCTGTCTGTGTGCCCCACTACCCTGGTTTTCACCATTTTAGGTGTATACATACCATAATTTTTTTTTTAAAGACTCACTCTGTCACCCAGGCTGGAGTACAGTGGCATGACCACAGCTCACTGCAGCCTCTGCCTCCTGGGCTTAAGTGCTCCTCCTACCACATCAACTAATGTTTAAAAAATTTTTTTGTACAAAGTCTCACTGTGTTGCCTAGACTGGCCTAGAAATCCTGTGCTCAAGTGATCCTCCTGTCTCAGCCTCCAAAATTGCTGGGATTAAGGCATGAGCCACCGCATCTGGCCTACCATACATTTTTGTTCATTTCCATTTCTTTTTCTAAGAGTTATAGTAAGAACAAGGAAGAAATCTTGCAGAGATGTAATGTTCTGTTCTTGCTTTTTTCCAGCTGGCCAAAGTGAGGGAAAAAGTGAAGGATGTGCCTGCCCTTGTGGCCAAATTTGATGAGATCTATGGGAAACTACACGTCAGTGGCCAGGTCACCAATTATTCTTTGGATGCTGTGCTCTGCCACACACCCAGGGACAGGAAATCCCACACATTGCTGTTAAACAAGAGGATGGTCAGCCGTCGCACCTTCCGGCCACTCAACCAGTCCCTGTTGGCTGAGTAACCCTGGTTTCAGTCCACCTATGGATCTGAGGGGCCTGCTTCTAGTGAGTTATTGCCTTTCCTAAGAAGTCAGGCGTCGCACTTCAGCAGACACTGTGCTGACACTTGGTCTCCTCCTGAAATTCCCAGATTCACTGAATGGTACCATGCCGACCTGTGAGAAGTTATGTTGCATCACTGTGAAGGTCTAGATGCAAGCTTGGCTCCCTCAGAAAGGCGCTTCCCTTTTGCACTGCTGAGGATCCTTGAAGGAACATGGTCAGTCTCCAGTTCAGCTTCTGGCACCAGAGTGGAACCCAGTAAGCACCATCAGGAATGAATTTCACTACAACTGTGGACAACTCTGATTTTCAAGGGAGTAGTTACTTGCAAATTACATCCTTGCTGAATTCAGGAGGTCTAAAACCCTACTCTACCATGTTAGAAAACAGCCCAGGATTTTCTCATTGCTCTGCCATCATATATATCTATGACTGGAGCCCTCATTTTTCCATCTGCAAAACAATAATGCCTATGTGTATTTGCATATAGATTTGAAATCTTCATTCAATGTTCAGTAGGATCAGATTTTCTCAAAAATAAGATAAATAAGGTTCATAAGCAAACTTGATGGGATTGTGGTTGTTTTGTTCTCTCAGCAGCACAAACAAAACCAGAATTTAGCCTTTAGGACTGCTGAGTAAGCCAAATTTAAATGATTACTGCTTTGATCATGGGTAAGCCATGTGCTTTTCAAAATAAGTGCCACTAAAAACCACATAATGCTTAGGTTTCTATGTGGATAATATTTAGTCCTATAGTTTATCTTATTTGTTAATGATTTTTCTGTCTTGAATGCCTCATATTAAAAAAAAAAAAAAATGTGCCATGAGAGCAGTTCAAACCTGCTTCATACTTATGATGGTCTGAAATATAGTATGTGTTGAATTTTACCATATCTGTTCACCAGTGAGCAGAAGATACACAGTGACCCCACCTCACTTGCTCCTTTTGTTTCAGAAAGCCCAGAGGGTTGCTCAGACCTCAGGAGCTGTCTGCCAAGAGTGCTGCAGACTCTTCATTGCTACCTCCAAAACTAAGACTATTCACTTGGTGGTGGTTCTGAGGCAAGGATTATAGAGTCAGAAATTGTAGACTAGGGGGAGTCTCCTAATTAATTCCTTCATCTTTCAGGTGAAGGAAATGATCCATGCCAGAGATCCCTAATCTCACCTGTAGACTGTGTCCCAGTGAGAGAATCACAGCGTCAGGTGTTTGCTGAATCCAGGTCTGAGATCACAATCCCACCTGAGGACAGGATCCACATATGAGAGTCACAAATTGGCATAATTGATTTGTGGTAGAGCTGAGATTAGAATCCAGATTCCTAGTCTAGTACCTTCCCACTGTACCCACATTATGTCTGCAGAGGGGAAAAAGGAGCAGCTCTTAAGAAATAGAATACTAAGGGCCCCCGTGACTGTGTGGCCCTGGGCATCCTCAGTTTCCTCATTTGGTAAATGGGGATAATAGTACCTACCTCTTAGGCTTGGTGTGAGGATGAAATGAGCTAGGGAATATAAAGCAAGCAGATAGTGGCTGGCACATAGTACATGCAATATGTTTGAAACTAGTTAAGGAATTATAAAAACAAATGAGTTCTTCCTTCTCAAAAATACTGAATTTTTTTTCCTTGTACTCTGTGAAACACTGGACAGCTCCATTTAGAGAAACAAATTCTCTGCCCTCATAGAATCCTAATTGTTTCTGTATGTGTCTGGTGTTTTGCACACACGCCCAAAAAAAAAAAAAAAAAAAAGTGCTTGGATTTCTCCACCTTCAGTCTTAGGGAATAATAGGGCATGCTTCCTGTCCCCGCAACTTACTCTTCATCTTCAACTCTCACAGTTCAAATGGCTCCAGTGCTGTGGGTGAGTGTGCCCCTGGTTGTTAGCTAACAACCATTCATTAGCAAAATAACCAAATTTTGTGAGCGGTAAATAGCAACAAGCTTCCCAGGCCCTGCTGCCCTGAGCAGCAGGTGGCTAGTGCTCAGCTGACTGGAAAAACTGGTCCATTCCACCTGTCCCAGAAACCTTAGTGCAGAGGTAACTAATATGCATAATGTTCACTCCAAAGTAAGAGATAATTCTAAAGTCTAAAAAAACCAATAAAAAAGTGTTCAGTATAGGTTATGATGGGCATTTCATTCTTTAAAATTCAGTAATTCCTTTGAAAAAATGGTGTTTCTTTGTAAGCAGTAGTTTGCCTACATCATTTACTTATTCTGTTTTTTTCTGCTTTGGGGTTTTTTTTTTTTTTTTTTTTTTGAGACATAGTTTCGCTCTGTCCCCCAGGCTGGAGTGCAGTGGTGTGATCTCAGTTCACTGCAACCTCCGCCTCCTGGATTCAAGCAATTCTCATGCCGTAGCCTCCCAAGTAGCCAGGATTACAGTTGCCCACCACCACACTGGCTAATTTTTTGTATTTTTTTTTTTTTTTTAGTAGAGGTGGGGTTTCACCATGTTGGCTAGGCTAGTCTCTAACTCTTATCCTCAAGTGATTTGCCTGCCTTGGCCTCCCAAAGTGCTGGGATTACAGGCATGAGCCACTGCACCTGGCCTACTTACCCCATTAATGAAAATATCTGATTGGACGGAACATCTTATTCCTTAACTCTGTTGTGTGCTTTTGTAGACTGTTTTTACTTACTGTAGACATCTGTTGCTCCAGAGTCTCAAAAATCAGTATGGTGAGTTCAGCACAATTACTAGGAGGAGACAAAAAGATATCTTCTTAATTAGTTGATATCAGGGATAGTTCTAGTTATTGATTGCTGTGTGGAAAACACTTGAAAACTCAGTGGCTTTAAACAACACCAGTCATTGAGTTATTTCTCATTATCCTAAGAACTGACTGGGCTCAGCCAGACAGTTCTTATTCAGGTTCTCATGCAGTTATAGTCATCATCATATTGTGGCCGGGACTGGAATCATCTCAAAGGCTTCCTTAGTATTTCCGGCAGTTGATGCTAGGACCTCAGCTAGTGCTGGGGCTGGAACATATCTACATGTAGCTTCCCCACAGCATGGTGGCTAGGTACTAGGAGTGACTGTCCCAAGAGGACCAGGCAGAAGCAGTTACCTTTTATGACCTACTCTCAGAAGTCACATAACATCACTTCCACTAAAGTCCCAACGCCCCTCCCCTCCCCCCGATTCAAATGGAGGAAGCATATATCCCATCTCAGTGGTAGGAATTTCAAAGAATAAATTCTGTGAAACTGTCATAGATAAGTCTGTTTTCTCCCCTGTTTAACTTCCTGAGGACCTCATGCTTCTGGATAAAGCTCAGGCTCTTCAACGTGGTTTAGAAGGTCCTTCCTAATCTGGCCCACGTTTGTCCATCCAGCTCCAACTCTTGCTACTCTACACCCCTCTTCCCTGCTTGTGGAATGGCTAATTCCTACTCATCCTTCAGGTCTCAGCTTAGACATCTTTTCATCTGAGAAGGCTTTCTGGTCTAGCTCACCTGGTTAGGTGAACTCCCCATGTGCCTCATGTACCTCACTTATCAAAGCGTTTATCATATGCCTGTCACTGTCTGTTTTCTTCACTAGACTCAGGTGCCATGTCTGTCCTTTCTTGTCTGTTTGCTGGGTGCCTAGCACTGTAGGGAATGTAACAGAGGATTAGTACTTATTTAACTCACCAGCTGATTTAACTATATTGTATAACAATGTTGGTGGTCATATTGGTCTCCCATGGACAGCTTTTCCTCTCTAATACCATACACTCAGTGCAGGGTTTGAATGTCCCGCCAAACTCATATGTTGAAATCTAAATCCCCAAGGTGTTGGTATTAGATGATGTAGCCTTTGGGAGGGAATTAGGGTGGTGCCCTCATGAATGGGATTTGTGCCATTATAAAACAAGCCCAAAGAAATTTGGTCGCCCCTTCCTTTAAGCGAGGACATGGCAAAAAGGTACTGTCTATGAACCAGAAAGTGGGCTCTCACTAGACACCAAATGCTGGCGTCTTGTTGTTGGATTTCCCAGCCTTCAGAACTGTGAAAAATATATTTCTGTTATTTATAAGCCACCCAGTTTTTGGTATTTTGTTATAGCAGCCTGAAGAGACTAAGACAGCCAGTCCCAAGCTTCCACATTTAGACCTGACTCCCAAGTTTTGCTCAGCCCACTGTGTATCCCTTCCTCCTCCCAACTAAAGTGTCCCCACTTTTTATCCTGTTCTGCCCATTATTCAAGGTCTAACTTCTGTCACTTTTTCAGTGAGGCATTTGCAAGTTGTTTAAATCCTCAAGGATTCTCCATTCACCATATCTATATTGAGCATCTACAAAGTTCAAGGCACTACGAAGGACTTTTTACATGCCACAGGGAAAAGACAAGAACTCTGTCCCAACACAGAAGATTTTAGCCTGCCACATTGACTCCCAGGGACCTTTTGGCCCATTTATTTGCTTGTTGTTTCTGTAGGAGGTGCTCATTACAGTGTGGTCAAATTCCTACTGAAGAATGGACTTGACTGTGAAATAAAACAATCCTGGGAAATATTTGTTGATATTTTTGTTGAGGGTGATTCAGGAAGTAAATACAAACTTTTAACTACTCATAATGAATATTGTTGGGATATTATAATGAGGAGGTAAGGATTTGCCTGCTACAATTCGGGTAGGCAAAAATGTAGGCTTCTCTATTTCTTTGCAGTGAACTAAAACTTCTTATGAACTCTGGTTATACTGAAAACAGGAGTCATGGGAGACTTGATCTTGCTTAAAGTCTTTGATTTCTTTGAGGTAAATGTTTAATCTTTTTGCATATCTTCCTCCTACCTTTTCATAGCCAGGATGATAGCTGAGTATAAGGCTGTGGCTCTCAAACCTGAACATGCATCAGAATCACTTGGAGAGCTTGTTAAAATACAGATTGATGGGCCCCACCCCCAGAATCTGATTCCATACATATGTATGAGTCAGGACCCAAGAATTTGCATTACAAATGCATTCTCAGATGATGCTGTTGCTAGTCTGGGCAACACACTTTAAGAGTAGTTGGTATAACAGAAAGCTTGTGTGTCCATTTGGACAGTAGGTGTGGGCTTCAGATTCATCCTCAGTGTCCTCTGTCTCAGTTATGAGGTGGGAGAAGAGTGGGAAGTCTGGTCTTGTCTCTGGACTCCTGAGTAAATAATGTGCTGAGGCAGTGTTGGGACCAACAGGCCTTTTAGAGCGTTATGCCAGCACCCACTGCAGAGGTCTGTATTCTCTGCCATCTGCCCTACACATAATAAGTACCCTTCCTTTGCTGTTCTCTCATGCTGACCCCAAGCCCACCAGTGAATTAATTGAATCAAGAGTTCCAGGGCATTAGGATTTAAAGACAATGAAAAATATATCCATTTTTTTTAAAATATGCATAAAGAAATCCATATAAACTAAGGCCAATTGTGGCAAAACTACACAAGACTTGACTAAAATAACCCACTAAAATTCAAATTTCCTTCATGACATTTCTACCTGTAAATTTGATTCAGAGAAATTACACTTCATAGATAAACTAGCCATAAAAAAGATTACAGTGGCAAAAGCTATCAACAGTAACATTTGATATGCATAAGAAACCGAGGAACCACATCACGGTAAAATTGATTCTAAGGAAGTGATTGCACAAAAATAAAAGTGAAATGATACCTTTTAAAAGGAAGTGGTTCAATTGTATTGCATAGGAAATGAATCAAGGAATTACATTGACTTAAATGGCATTAGCTCAAAAAAGTGTTCTCAACAAAAATTAATGGAAATTGGTGTATTCTGATTGGATGTTCTATTCAATAAGATGGAGTCAAAACAAGATATTTTAAATGTCCTCTGTTCCCATGGAGCTTGCATTCTGCAAGAACAACAGGCATCAAAAAGATAACTGGGCAAATGACCACATGATTGCAGTTGGGATAAATGCTAAGTCTAGGGTAATATTCATATCACCCTGTGGCATGTATAAGTGGTGTGTGTGTGTGCATGTGCATATGCGCACACACACACACGTATATAAAGGAAGACCTTTTGCTGGTGTTTTGTAAAACCAGTTGTCTGTGTCATTTATTTGAACACTTAAAGTACACTGCCATGTATTGTTACAAATCTTTTTCTCCATATCTGGTCTCTCCTGAAGAACAGAGTATTCTACGTTTGTTTTATATGACCGCAGGGTGCTTATGTAGCAGGTTATTTATACATTTAGTGGGGTCTTAATATTTTTTGAAAGAGTGATTTCATTAATTAATGGCAGATTTTAGTTAATATGTACAGTCTGCCACAATATACTTTAGGTACTTCACCGTTTTCTCATAAACTGGTTGCTATTTCTATCCCGGTTTTACATATGACAGAGCCAAGACACAGAGAAGTAGAATGACTTGGCCTGTGCGGGGGTCCTGGGTTGGCCAGTGCATTCATGTACTGAACCAGAGCCCCTATATCTTGCAGTAATGTATCCATGGGAGTTTCTCCCCAGACATTGCAAGCACACAGCTAATCTGAGAACGAAGTGATTTGGCGAGGGTTTGGGGGAGTAGGCGGTGGGCACAACGGTTCCAGGTGACTTTCAAGTTGCTAATGAAAGAGGATCAAAATGCTGCTGAACTGCTCACCTCCCCACTTGGCCTGCTTGCTCAGCTGTCTTCCAAGGGCCTCAGAAGCAGCATTACCACAGCCATTAAAGATGGGGAGGGGGAGAGAAGGCCCAGAGGGAAAGGGAACCACATGCTTACCTGCTAATCACTGCCCTGCCACTGAAACACTGCAGAGCTGGCTGCTCTGGGATAGGAGAGGAAGGCCTCATTTAATCAGGTGGAGAAGAGAGAGAACCAGGGGCCTCTGAGTTGTCCTGCAAGGCATCACAGTCTGAACTGTGGGCCTGCCTGGAAATGTATTGTCGGATTAGAGTGATGCTTTGTAAATCCCTTGTCTTCCCTGATTCATTTTTCCTGACCCAAGCCAGGCCAAGATGCTCACCCTGAAGAGCACAGCGTCACCCTGTCTTTTAATCCCCCAAGTAGCCCTTACCCCTGCAACATCACCTGTTACAATTGACAACATGAAGGAAGGCATAACCCCTGCAAAGGGACTGCCCTACAACTCGATTTGATTTTGAATCCACAAATGCAAGTCTCATTCCTGGTAACTAATAGTAACAGAACCTGCTGATGTGTTCTGCCGAATCCCAGGTAGACACATGTAGCCATGAAGATTGAAGAGGATTAAGTTAACCTTCCGTTTTATAGCTGGAAATTACTGGGTTGATGTCAGGTAGGGTGAGGAGTATGTTCTGGTTATAGCTGGTGCCAAGATGGCTTCATGCATCATGAGGCTTTGGCCTAAAAAGCTTGTCGTTATATAAAAAGCTATAGAGAGCAGAGGAAATGTCATTTCCAATTTAGAAGAGCATAATCGATTTTTAACACATTGGTCCTAAGGTGATAGAGAATTCAACAAAAACGGGGCTTACAAAAAGCCAGGGTTCATAAAATTACAAAGATTATAGACAAAAATAGGTAACATGTAAGACTTACTAGCCGGACGAGGTAGCTCAAGCCTGTAATCCCAGCACTTTGTGAGGCCAAAGCGGGCAGATCGCCTGAGGCCAGGAATTCTAGACCAGCCTGGCCAGCATGGTGAAACCCCCTCTCTACTAAAAATACAAAAAAATTAGCCAGGCGTGGTGGTGGGCGTCTGTAATTTCAGCTACTCGGGAGGCTGAGACGGGAGAATTGCTTGAACCCAGGAGGCGGAGGCTACAGTGAGCCTAGACTGCACCATTGCACTCTAGCCTGGGCGACAAGAGCGAAACTATGTCTCAATAATAATAAGACTTACCATTTGCCAGGTCCTGTACAAAGCACTTTATCTCATTTAATCCCCAGGAAACCCCATAAAGTACTATTATCCCATTTCACAGATAAAGAAACTGAAGCTCAGAGACGTTTGGTTGCTTGCCTGTGGATATAACACTAGAGAGCGGGAGAGGACGGTTTTTGAACCCAGGAGGTCTGATGCTGGTGGCCATGTTTTTAACCCCATCTCTGTATTGCCTGCCCAAATGGTGGCTGTGTGCATATATTCTCAATAATCCCTGGCCAACTTCTTGCTTTGCTGTCAGTAGCAGAGCTGAAGAACTTACAATAGACGGCAGAGGGCGTCCAGAGTCACTATTTTTAAAAGGTGCTAGTTTTCAAAAGCATTTCTGGAATTCAGAGAGAACAGAGGTCCACATAGCAGGCTAGACAGGAAAGGTAGTTGTAGATAGACTTTAGGGAATATATAGAATATTGCCTTCACACAGGTTAAGAAATATTTAGTGTTGAAAGGATATTTCTAAAAGACAGAAAGCAGTAAAGTTGATCCTCTGCAGAAAGTAGACCAATGTAAGTATCATGCAATGTGTCCGTACACACAAGCACACATGCACACACACACATTAGATGTTTTGTGAGAAAACATACAACTCAGTTTCTTATGAAAGAAAAAGGATGGTCATTTGTCTCACTTGAGAAAGGGTTTCCTCCCAAATTGAGAAGGAAAATCCCCCCAATTAACTGTTTGCCTTTATTAACTAAAATCACATTTGTGTGTGAAAGAAGTAAAAAGGAATTAGGATCTTGGTTATTTTGATTGTCTCTCTACACTTCCGAATTCATCAAATGATGGTCAACCTGACTGTTCCTGCCATCATCAGGAATGACTAAATCTTGGAGCGTTCTCCATTTAAGTGAGGGAAATGTTGGCTTCCTGGTGTATTTATCACTGCCCGTCTCTAAGAATAGGTCAAAGATGAAATTCCCATTATCATGAACCTTTAAGATGTACTGAGACTTCACAGAGCACTAACTATACTGGAGCTGAGATGGGGATTCTGATGAGAGATATCCCTGACAGAGACCAGAGCTTGGGAGGAAGAAAAGGCAGATGCCCTTGCTCAAGATGACTTCTTCGTGGGCATCGATAGATACGTTCTTGAAAACCATGCAAAGTACCTGGAGGAGACCCTAGTGCAACTGTGCATTGTACAACAACTGATGGGGTAAAAGAAACAAACTGTTAATGACTCTAAACAATGTGGCCCACAGAGTTGGTATGGTTTGGCCACACCAGCTCAGGGATAAAGGTACTAGAAAAAATCTTGGGGAAAATCCTATTGTACATATTCCTTACATAATGTCTATGATTTACCTCACTTATCAAATGAAAAAAACCCAAAACACCTGGTTGATGGCCATTCAGTCAAACACCTCTAGGAGTCTGGAGTTGAGTGGCCAGAACTCAGTCTTTCTTTACATGCTGTGTTAAGCAGGCTTTTATCACATTCATGTGTTAGAGGTGGAGGGAGGACCACAGTTAGGCTGTGTTCTACTGCACTGCATAGGGAGGGGGGTATCACCAAGGCACAACACTCATTTTGCAAGTAAATAATCAGTAGCATGAAGCTGACTCCTGCAGGACCCACCATGACAAAGTGGAGAGCTAGGCGGTTAACCAGTGAGCCAATCGAGTGGC